TGATGTAGATTACTGAACGAAATATTTAGCAACGCAATATCTATAGTAAACGATTTACACTAATTTACTCAGCGTAATAAAAGATCGTGATACATTTAAATTGGGATAATTGACGGATTTGGCGATAATTTGCGATAAAATTGATGAATTCAAGTGGTCGGTTGAAGATTTGGCCTATCATGTAAAATTTGATAGATTTTTGACTAGAACTAAATCACTAGATTACGATTATTGAATTTTCAACATTTGAAATGCCAAATGTTAAATATTCGAAATTTGGCATGAAATTTTCAATTAAGATATGTTACGTCAAGTTTTGATTAATTACTGCCAAATTCAATACCTTTCACATCAAGGGTAAACGACTCACAGTGTGAGAACTCAACATGAATCGAAGATCGAACTATAAACTACCAAAAACTTTGTTGTTTCCAATGTCGGCAACCGCAAATTATGGAACAAATTGTCTTAATTGAAAACAAACGGTTAATGAAGGAAGGCGGTCATTGAAGTCCTTCGGATTTGGTTGAGAAATCATCCATATCTTATTAAATTAGCTCAAACAATCTCAGTGTTTGATATTCTTACTTACCCGTTTCTTTTATCACCGGAATTTTCCAGCCAGAAATTCATAGTTCGGTCTAGTTCCTCTTCCATTCTGGCCAAGTAGTTCTCCAGTTTGTCGCGAAAGACGCCCATGTCTGCTGGCAAACCTCTGAACTGGCCAAGCTCTGCATGTAGAATTCAGATTATTGAAATAGGTTAAATTCTTTTACATAGCAATTAACGGGTCACTTAAACAACCTCTGCAACCGTGGGAACATTTCGAAATCCTATGTCTTGTGTTTAGCGAAAGACCCAGCTTTCAATTTGCCTTCAGAACTTTAATCCATCGTCACACACATCTCGCTTATAATCCGCAAATTGACTCAAATTGCCTCCTTCCGCAGTAAATACCGCAAAATAAACTCTTTCATCCGGTATAGCTTTGAATTATTTTCAAGTTTTTGCTGAACTACAGTCGCATACAGAGAAAAATTGCAAAAGGAAGACCTTCTCAAGAAAAGAAATTGTTTCCTTTCAACATTCGCTCGCGTAGACCTGTATACAACTTGTATCTGGTATTCTTGCTGACCTCTAATTAAGCAGAGAGGGTTAACAGCTTACACTGATCGTGTAATAACACGAATCGATCCTATATATTCCGCAGCTTAGTATTATGGCGAGAACGAAGGAACTGATATTTCGTTAAGTAGCTATGAACCCAACCCTTCTGGAATGACGTAGAACAGTCTTAAAAGAACGCGGTTGTTTACATTGAAGGTTTAAATTAGAAATCCTATCTTGAGTGAGGGCGCGCAGAAGTTTTTTGCAACTATTTCCTCACGCGATGTTTGCGGAATGTAAACTGTGAGTCGCGCACGCTGAGCAACTCCTGAGATCATGTACCGGCGGAGTTTGGCAACGATGCAACAAACGATAACTGCACCTTAAACATAATCAAGGAATAAAATGTAATATTGCTCTTACTAAAAGAGTGCAATTTCACTTTATTTCGTAAAGAGCGAATATTACCAATCTTGCAATTAAGATGTACCAAATTATGGAAAGCTATTTCTAAAATTGTACAATGATTACGCCACATGGATTACAATTTAAACGAGATCCTCTACGTGTCATGCCAAGAACAGAATGGTTGAAATAATTGAATAGTTTTATTTTACAATTACTTTGTGAAGTTTTTCATTAAAATGTTAACTGCAGGTCAACAACGTCGAGATTGAGATTTTACAAATAATTACACCGTATTTAAAATAGGCTGGGCTTAAAAGTAGAATTGACTTAGTTGGTAGAACGTCAAATACAAGAAGCAACCGCGTTAGAAACGGTAACATTCGAGGTAAAATGTTTCTTGCAACTCGAAACTTTCGCATAAAACTGCATCGTTTACAGAGCTCTCACAGAAATCACCGAACAATAATATTGTTTAAGTTTTCACTTACCTCTTAATTAATGTTTTGGAAACGTTTGAATAAGAACAGCAGCGAAGTCTAATCTGGAGCAGTGAAAGTATTTGGACCTCAAGACCCCAGTTAGTGCTAGTAACACTAACAACGNAGGTTTGTAGACACCTGCATGGACCTTGTGAACCAGGGAATGAACAAAGAGGAAGCGATTGAAAATACTGTCAAGACACTTTTTACTAGCAACACCATAACTATGCCAGTAAGTGAAATACTGCTTATCTCTTAGGACCTTTTAGCATAAAATTTTCTTTGAAAACTTAACTTTCTCCTTGAATCTTGCATAAACCAGATTTTGCTTTACAATCCACCATCTTTGACAAAGCTTTTTAAATTTCAAAATTTTATTTCTGTATTATGTAGGATAATTCTAAAGATGAGAAAGATCCTTACTCAACAATTTTGGACAGTGTGAAGAAAAAATAAGGATCAAATATTTTCAAGAACAAAGAGCAAGGACAATGAATAGGTCAGCTAGAAGGATCTTTTTGAAGTCGGAGGAAGCAAGGTCTGTAGNGCATTGATTTTAAAGCCTTTCAATACACTTCTAGCTCATACTTGTTTTATTTTATTAAGCAAACATAAGGTTAGATAACTTCTCTCAGCCTCACTCACAGTTCTTGAATATAATGAGCGAAAATCACAGCTAAGCTTGGATATTCCTGCTTTTGATGTTGTTTTTCTTTTCATTGAACCTATCGAATGTAGGTTCAGTTACCATTGATCATGCCGTTTGTCAATGGTTCTTCTTCCAACAGTCCCTTTAACATCTTGATACACATGTGAAGGCACCGAGGAACATGGAAACAGCCTGTGGAATATTTGTAAAATGTAATCTAGTTATTGTAAACTGAAACATTCCTTTCATTTCAATGGTCACAACAAACTTGAAAAGTTTCATGATATGTCCTTCAGTGTATAAACTTTAGTAGAGGCGCAGTGGCCTCATTTCTTGTGCGCTTGACTTGTGACTGAGCGGTTCAAGTTCGAGCCCTGGCCAGTGACATTGTGCTGTGTTCGTGGGCAAGACACTTTACTCTCACAGTGCCTCTCTCCACCCAGGTGAATGAATGGGTACTGGTGAATTTAATGCTGGGGGGGAACCATGCGAATCATGGACTAGCATCCCACCTAGGAAGGAGTAGAAATACTCCTAGTCGCTTCATGCTACAGAAACTAGAGGTATGCGCCATCCTGATGGGCCACTTGGCTCTTATCCAGATTTTACCTATAATTGGTTCAAACAATAAGCCTAATGTAATCAACCAATCAGATGCCAAACTAAAACCAACCGCGACTTGGTCGTGTGCGTTTTGTTCATGTGCTTTGTTTGAAAGAGAGTTTATACAGTCAAACTTGCCTTTAAATGGCCCCCCTTTGAAAGTGTGCGTGACTTCTCCTTTTTGGTTAAGATAACCAAACCACTCACCATACTGAGGATCCGAGAACTGAAACGAAAATAGAACAGCTATCAGTTTGATTCAGTTTGCTTGACATGTTCATGTATATGGCCGTGGCACTTAAATCCTGTAAATCTAAAGTGAAAGAGGAGGGGAAAGGGCTTGAGGCAACTTCCCATTATTGCATATTCCACTTTCTAGAATTCTTAAACAAATCTTTAGTTTTAATTAGTTCTTGCTCAGTGATGTAATGCNTACCTGTAAGTGTTTCAAAATCTGCTGCACTGCCCACTCTTCATCTTCGCAGTACGTCTGACGAAGCTCCCCATCATCCCGGCATACCTCATCGATCACATACAACAGCATCATTGGTACAGCCAGGGGATTTGCGGCCTCTTGCCCTGACAGCTTGGGACGGCCTAGCTCGGCGTCGTCAACACGTGCCCAGTGTGTTACCAGTGATAACATCCTGAGGGCTTCCTCCTGAAATGAAGATGGTTTGCTCTCTCGGGTGGTAACCTGCGAACAGGCTCACCTTTGAGTCACGCGCGTAGCCTGCGAGTAGGTTCACCTTTGAGTCACACGCGCGTAGCCTGCGGGCAGAATCATTTTCGTGTCACACGCCCGAGCGAGGAACGAGTGGGACGAGTCTTTTCTCGCAACGCGCGTGTGCTTCCCAAACCTGAGCTGGCTACTCGGATGGTACATTTCTTTTCGGGTGTAAATAGATTAGATGACTGGAAACGGTCATGGTTCTATTTTTGCAACCATCGGCCATTTTTTCCCGCCTCAAGACTGTCCAGTCTCTAATCCAAACAAGACGATCAGTTCCTGTTTTCTACGTTTCTTCTCTGAGAGCAAAAGCTAACCTATACGTTTTGTTATTTACTTTACTTGATTTGGTTACCGTCAAATGTTGTGGGTTTTTTATGCGTTTTTCATTGCAGTGTGTTTTTGAACCGCCATGAACGGATTCCTTTTAGCGTTTTTGTTGAAGTGGAGGAATTTCCAATTGACCGTTGATATTCCCTTAGTTTGCTTTTTATTTCTCACATGCTTCGCTTTGTTGTTAGTTCAAAATCCACTCGTACAAGTTTTCTGATCTAACCAATGAAAACAAAGAGATTTTCTTCAAGCCAATAAAATCAAAAACCTGCTCTGATTGGTTCATTGCAAAAAAATTGGGTGCGTAGTGATTGGTCAAATGCGATGACACACGCCAGTGATTGGATAACTGACAGCAACCTCGTTCCCAGGCTCTCTCCTCTACCTCCCTTGTCGCCTGAGAACGAGTTTGAACTAACAGCTCCCTGCAGGAACTTGGCGGTAAAGAAATTGGAGCGTGCATTTTTTTTGTTGCCAATGTTTTTAGTGGTAGGTTTCGTACCTTGTACTTTGAGAGATTGCTTGCTCGCGCCAGTTCAGCCATTGCGATCACATAGAAACACTCAGTGAAGATTGTTCTTTGAATTTTAATTGGTTCTCCCTCAGCTGTGACTTGGAAATAACAGCGTCCGTCATCAGGTCTCTTAATGTGGTTTAAGAGAAATTCGCCACCTAAAATGACACAAAAAAATCCCTTAGCTACTGTTCATCTAAACATACATGTACCTTAAATTCAGGTAAACCGTCTTTCTCTTCACTGTACCGGTATCGCAGAGGTCGGGTTCAAATCCCGTTCAGGCCTGAATTTTTTTCAGGCTTTAATTTCACAACTGCTTAAATTGTGCATATAACTGTGATGATCAATGATGTCTTCATATCTTTTTCCGCAGTTCAAATATATGATCTTTCATATATTTACTTGTGGTTGTTAAACGTCTTCGAACTCGGAAAAGTTTATGGGTTAATTATTTCTCGCGACCAAATTCAGGGGAATAGACAATTTGCCTTGCTATGTAGTTGTTAACTGAAGGTTGCTGTCGCCCAAGGGGCCTCAAGGCAAGATTTAAGAGGTACACTTAGGAGAGCGGTTGAAGAAAACGTTGAGGTAGATTTGATGAATTTTCCATCTTCTGTCTGGGCAGTTTCGCTTTCTAGTTCCCNCCCCCCCCCGAACAAAAAGACCCAGATAAGTATAAGGACAGCTGTTTTAGCTGTGAGTTTTTTTGCTTAACTTTGTAGTATTTTAGTTGTTCTTTGTCACGAATATTTTCAAAACTATATACGGGAGTGTCGTCAGTTAAAATAAATTCTTCCAAGTACCTGATAATGCAGCTTTAAGGACCTTTGTTTTGCCATATTTCGAATTTTCGTTGTAAAGTTTGGAGTACATCCATACCTACGATAGAAAAATGCCATTCTTTAGTGATACTCTTGCTAAAACAGGCTCAAGGCTAAAGTTAACAATTTATGGCTCCCAATGTACTGCACACAAGTATAGATAAGATATTGTTAACATCGCTTTTACGTTATTAAACTTTGATGGTGTTGATATTTCTTTCGTTGTCTTCGTGTTTTTAGTTACTTCGTGAAGGCCATAGACTCTTTTCATAAATGGCTGCCAATTTAAACTTCTTTTGTATGCATTTAAATCAGCCTCACCACACCTCTTTACTGTAAAGTTCAGACTAAGCTCCTTAGTGAAGGAAACTTTCACTAAAACTCAACTAATCGACTCAGAAATGAGGTTAGTCAGGATATAATTGGCAGCCTTTTATGACAGGTCTATGTTAGTTGTTCCATGTTCCTTTATGCAGCATGTGCATTTCTTAGGATTAATCTATTGTCTTGTAAGTTCTTCTGTTGCTCATCCAATCAGAGCGAGCATACCTTTTTTTCAACCAATCAGGTGCAAGACCTAAACCAAACGCGACTTGGCTTTTGTTTGTTTTCCCGCGCTTTGTACGGACTGCATGCTTTTGTTATTGAGTTCTGATTGGTTCGTTGCGTGACGTGCTTTTTTTTGTGTGTGTGTGATTGGCTAGATGTGATTCTGTTGGTTTTGGTTTTACGACTGTCCTTTGAAAAGCGATTAAAGTTAAATTGCATAAGAAAGTTCTGCTTCATCAAGACACACCTGTCTTCCCTCGAGCCAGCCGTACTTGGAGCCGTCGTAAACTTTGCCATCTCTACCCAGACAGACATAATAACCTCTGCAATCCAAAAAAAAAAAAAAAAAAANATTTTTGACTAGAACTAAATCACTAGATTACGATTATTGAATTTTCAACATTTGAAATGCCAAATGTTAAATATTCGAAATTTGGCATGAAATTTTCAATTAAGATATGTTACGTCAAGTTTTGATTAATTACTGCCAAATTCAATACCTTTCACATCAAGGGTAAACGACTCACAGTGTGAGAACTCAACATGAATCGAAGATCGAACTATAAACTACCAAAAACTTTGTTGTTTCCAATGTCGGCAACCGCAAATTATGGAACAAATTGTCTTAATTGAAAACAAACGGTTAATGAAGGAAGGCGGTCATTGAAGTCCTTCGGATTTGGTTGAGAAATCATCCATATCTTATTAAATTAGCTCAAACAATCTCAGTGTTTGATATTCTTACTTACCCGTTTCTTTTATCACCGGAATTTTCCAGCCAGAAATTCATAGTTCGGTCTAGTTCCTCTTCCATTCTGGCCAAGTAGTTCTCCAGTTTGTCGCGAAAGACGCCCATGTCTGCTGGCAAACCTCTGAACTGGCCAAGCTCTGCATGTAGAATTCAGATTATTGAAATAGGTTAAATTCTTTTACATAGCAATTAACGGGTCACTTAAACAACCTCTGCAACCGTGGGAACATTTCGAAATCCTATGTCTTGTGTTTAGCGAAAGACCCAGCTTTCAATTTGCCTTCAGAACTTTAATCCATCGTCACACACATCTCGCTTATAATCCGCAAATTGACTCAAATTGCCTCCTTCCGCAGTAAATACCGCAAAATAAACTCTTTCATCCGGTATAGCTTTGAATTATTTTCAAGTTTTTGCTGAACTACAGTCGCATACAGAGAAAAATTGCAAAAGGAAGACCTTCTCAAGAAAAGAAATTGTTTCCTTTCAACATTCGCTCGCGTAGACCTGTATACAACTTGTATCTGGTATTCTTGCTGACCTCTAATTAAGCAGAGAGGGTTAACAGCTTACACTGATCGTGTAATAACACGAATCGATCCTATATATTCCGCAGCTTAGTATTATGGCGAGAACGAAGGAACTGATATTTCGTTAAGTAGCTATGAACCCAACCCTTCTGGAATGACGTAGAACAGTCTTAAAAGAACGCGGTTGTTTACATTGAAGGTTTAAATTAGAAATCCTATCTTGAGTGAGGGCGCGCAGAAGTTTTTTGCAACTATTTCCTCACGCGATGTTTGCGGAATGTAAACTGTGAGTCGCGCACGCTGAGCAACTCCTGAGATCATGTACCGGCGGAGTTTGGCAACGATGCAACAAACGATAACTGCACCTTAAACATAATCAAGGAATAAAATGTAATATTGCTCTTACTAAAAGAGTGCAATTTCACTTTATTTCGTAAAGAGCGAATATTACCAATCTTGCAATTAAGATGTACCAAATTATGGAAAGCTATTTCTAAAATTGTACAATGATTACGCCACATGGATTACAATTTAAACGAGATCCTCTACGTGTCATGCCAAGAACAGAATGGTTGAAATAATTGAATAGTTTTATTTTACAATTACTTTGTGAAGTTTTTCATTAAAATGTTAACTGCAGGTCAACAACGTCGAGATTGAGATTTTACAAATAATTACACCGTATTTAAAATAGGCTGGGCTTAAAAGTAGAATTGACTTAGTTGGTAGAACGTCAAATACAAGAAGCAACCGCGTTAGAAACGGTAACATTCGAGGTAAAATGTTTCTTGCAACTCGAAACTTTCGCATAAAACTGCATCGTTTACAGAGCTCTCACAGAAATCACCGAACAATAATATTGTTTAAGTTTTCACTTACCTCTTAATTAATGTTTTGGAAACGTTTGAATAAGAACAGCAGCGAAGTCTAATCTGGAGCAGTGAAAGTATTTGGACCTCAAGACCCCAGTTAGTGCTAGTAACACTAACAACGCCAGCGCAAAGAGGATTAAGTTTGATATTGAGCTGTTATTGCACGGTGCGGTCAATATAGGTTTCTAATTTCATAACATGTATGGTAATTATAGCGTGGCCGTCGACTCATGCCCTTGAGCCGTGTTGAGTGTGTGGGCAAAACAATTGACAGAAATGGTCTGCTCTTCCGACAACAAGTCAAGTGTAACGGTTGCGGAGAATTGGTGAACTTTCGTTTCATTTACAAACGGGCCACGCTGTCTATTTTGGGCTCAAAACGGCATGCTCTCCATGCTGTTTTTTGTTTTGTTTTGTTTTTGTTTTTTTTCTTTTGAAATAGGAAAACCTTATGAACTTGAGCAAAATGTTGAGAGCATTTTTTTTTACGAAATCAATGTTGTTTACCAAGGCTTTTAAAAAGTTCCTTTTCAAAGCAACTGGAGCTGATCTTGCACAGGTGGCCGCGTATTTTCAAGTTTGTTTGCATTGCAGTCCATTATCCTCACTTTGTACGGCTGTAGCGTTTAATTTTCGCTCTTAAATCTCATTTAATAAGAACCGGTTCAGCTTAAAAATTGAAACAAGTTCTGATCTGGAAATCCGAAAAAAAGAAAACGCTTCATAGAATGTAAAGAATTATGCAGTATTTTGAGCACACAGAACCTGAAGAAAATGAGAAGAGAAGAGTGTGTGTTTGCTTAGAATGGATATTTTAAACATATTTATATGTTTCTTATAACAGGAAGGGACCACGCCCATAAGGACCAGCTGTTAGCCAAGAAGCTGAGCTGTTATGCTCCGGGGAGTTGGGGGTGGGGGGTGGGGACTCCCATATGAAAAGGTCGGGCATGCTCGTCGGAAAATATGAATTAAACCCCTAAGGAAGGGCAATCTGGGCGTGGCAGGAGCTTTATTTGACCCCTAATAATAGACTAGATTACCAGCCGCTGTTCAGGAAGGGAGCCTGCGCTAGTAGACCGGACTCGAGAGATCGTCGGAAATAGAGCCTGAAAACAGAAATGGGAACATTTTTGTTATTATTTTTTCTCCGAGTGCACCCTAAAAGATAATTTGGCGGCTAACCATATTGGCGTTTCGTCCTGAACACCCTAAGTGAAACCAGAATCCTTGATATATACCCCTGAGCGAGACGACGAGCATCCCCATATATGTGCTCTATATCAGGAGTACCCCTTCCCACCCCCCACCCCAACCCGCGGTTAGACTACTGAGAGGCTGAGCTTCAAAATCAACTTAACAAGTTTAGTTATAAAGGCTAAACCAGCATTTCAAGGGTCAAAATATATACTTCGTTACAAAGATTTTTCTGTGTAGCGAATTCTTCCAAAAACGACAATACGTGATGATGTGATTGTTGACTTGTGTTAGTAGGCTTCGTCTTTCCAGTTTTGCTTGTTTACTTTTCGTACCATCTTATGCTGATTTTAGTTTCTTATAAATTGCTATCTGTATAACTGATAGCAATACTGAGTATTTTGTCCTCAGTCAGTAGTAAACAGGAAGGAGTTAGGGTTACTTTGGAGAAATGATTGTGGATTTTTCACTCGACAAGGGTTTACCAGAAATCAATAAAGTTGTTTGCCTTCAGGGTTGCTTCATTTCTCTTTCCCCGATGATGCTTCGTATTGATCTTTTTTCCTTTTGCGTGATTCTGTTTCATCATCTTATCTTTAACAAACCGACACTTGAAGTGTTTACATTGTAGTGCTCATTTATTGAAATCAGTCTTTCCCAGAATATCTTAAAAGTACAGTAAACACCACTGATATACATGTATTTCATTGAAAAGAAAGCATGCAGCGGAACCTCTATGTAACGAACCTCTGTATAACGAACGGTATTCTGCGCCCCAATAATGGTAAAGTAAAGAAAAGAAGGTGTTTACATAATAAAAGAGGTCAAGTTTGGCACACCAACATGGCCGCCGTTTCATTGCTTTGGAACACCAAAATGGCTGCCGTGACGTCATGTGAAAATGCTCTGTATGGAAGAGAAGTCCGATATTACGGAATCTTGCCATAACAAACATATTTTGCCAGTTCATTAGCCATTCGTTATATGAAGGTTTCACTGTATCATATATATTATCATGAGGAACTGATACTGGAAAGAAAGAAGTCCAAGAGGGTCCAACATAGACCTTTACAATTCCGCATTCCGCCTCTATTTTAGCTCAATCCCGCCATCCCGCCACAGTCAGAATGTTTCTCCCGAACCCGCCTGGTTAAACGTGTCAGTTCATTGCGTAACGTCCGTGACGTATGACTTTCTATCTTTTATTCCGCATCCCGCATCCCACCGAAGTATATTTACCCCGTATCCCGCCATTAAAATTTTTGTTATCCCGCATCCCGCATTAATTTTTATTCTCATCCTGCATCCCGCCAAACCTATACTGGACCCTCAATCTCGTTTCCAGAGCCTTTGCAACGACTGGCCATGTCGCTGACCAGTATGACCGAAGCCTCTAGGATCTACCCATCCCTTCCCTTTTCCCGCGTTCTAAGTTTTATTGCGCACACGTTATGCTAACCGATTCGTGAAACTCGACAGATCTCAACAGCCAACCCTAGACACGACGTTCACACTTTTAACAGAACAATAGTTGCAATATAATCAAATTGCACATACTGTATTACAAACATCTTGTTTCTCTTAGTCTTTTCATGCATATGGAACCCTCTGTTTGTCTGTATTTATTAGTGTGACCTGGTCTTCCGTATTCCTTCATATCCGGCGTGTCATTTTCTCTTAAAATATTTTGTTCTCACTCCTACGCAATAACTAACCTTGTGTTTTCTTTCTTGGCCTCAAGTTGTAAAATATCTTGCTCGACCCTGCCATGTAACGTAGCGTTGTGTGACTTGTAAGATTATCTTTTAACTGGCTTCGAGTTACACGTTTGCTTCTTGCAGCATTTCCTTTCTTGATCTTATATGATTTCCACTTTTTTCCTTGCTCTCGTCCTATTAACCAGCATTCAAACGAAATAAAAATATATATATATTCTGGCGATCACGTTATGTGGTGCAACTGATTGTTTAAGGCTGCAAAAGTGGGAAAAGATAAACTTAAGTCCGATATGAAACGTCCATACCGAGACAAAGGCAGAGAGGCCCGTGTACAGCTACAGCTGAAAAAGTTGGCTGTTAAATCGGATTTTATTTTTCTCCTCTTTTTAGCTTTGGCAGTTAAAACTGTGTCATGACCATTAATATTATGCAGACAACTGCCGACTGGTAGAAATACATATACACATCAGATTGTTGTAATAATAAAACTAAAGCATTAGGAAAGTTTCGAAATTATGTACCCAGCCTATAATACTACACAGTGTACTACAGTAACACAAAGGATACAACATACTACTTCGAGAAAAAAATTAAGAGAATTTGTACACAATACCTGGGACAAAAGTGGGTGCCATCTTGAGCTGGCGCAGTGAGTGGATCCACGACAAAGCTTAGAGAAATTTGTTCTGATGCAGCTTAAGACTTGCGTGATTTTTACGTTGGATTGCGTGATGTCTCGCTTTCAATCGTGATAATTTTCATCCTGGCAAAGTACAAGCGATGCGGGGGCTGGGTGGGTGGGGGGCTGATGGGGAGAAGGGTATTCGAAAACTCCAAGAGAAAATGAAAACTCCCATTTAAATATTTCCAAAGAAAGGGGATTTTTCTTCGTCGCAAGAAGACGGCTATACCCCATGCACGAATTATTCGTTCCGACTACGGTTTATGTTGTTTTTCGCCCGCTTCTAATCGTTTGTCCCCAGTGCACCGCTTGAACCGTTTCATCACGCAGCTATTCATTGCCGTCATTTCTCTGCTTGGCACTGCGTTAAAAGGAGACATGAAAGCGTGGTTGACCTTAGTTTTGGTTGCATTGGCATGCATTGCAGGCGTAGGAAGAGGAAGGAAGAGAGGAACTGTGCGCAAGGAGAGGGCCAATCCCTTTCTCCCTTCCGTTTCTGCGCTTGCTACACAGGCTTAATTCATCCCCCCCCCTCCGGCCCCTCACAAAAGGAGGAAATTCAATGACCCATCCAGACTGCAGGCTAAGGCTTCGTCCACACCACGCCGGAGGAATTTGAAACCGCAACAATCACCATTTTTCACGATTTTGGAAGGAAATCACATGATCATCGTTGCGCCATCGTTTTCGAAAAACTGTTTTAAAAATGTTTTCCGTCCACAATAAAACGCAAGGCAGGCCTTTTCAAATTCCTCCGTTTTGAAGAGCGTTTTCGTAGGCCTAACCGTAGAAATAAAGTTGCGTTTTCAAATTTCTCCGGCGAAGTGTGGACGGAAAACATTACATGGGTTTACAAATTTCTCCGGCGTAATGTGGACGCAAGGGGTAGTATCTTCCGTAAAACAAAACATTACTATTCGTAAAAAACACAATCAAGTTTCACATGACGTTTTATTGTTTCTTCACCCATGCATATATTTAAAAATATAAAGACAATCTTTTTTTTTCTTTTGGATTCTGCTTTTATCTACAGTAACTGTATAACTGGTTTATAAATTAACCCTTTGTAACCATTTCAAGGAAATTACTGTCAGTCATTTCACAAAAATTCAGCGTGAAAAGATTACAAAACCCTTGTTATTTACAACTAGAAAGAGAGACCGCAGCTTTTTAACATTATTATACAATTCTAAGTACAGACTGATCAATTGCTCTTGGATTGATATAAACATTATAGGGCCTAAGAATACAGATTGATCATTTGTTCTTTGATTTTTATAAACACTATTCACACAATGACTGTTCAGATACCTTAGTCATATCAGAGGAACAGCAACTAACCATAAAATCGACTTGTGGCTGAAAACTATACATCAATTTACAGCTGATAAATAGATCTGTACTGTTCATATACAGAGTGGACAGAATCCTGAGTCTTTTTGCATTTTATACATTTTTTTACATTTTCAATATTTTGATATTTTTATTTTTTTATTTATTCACCTTTACATCCCATACAATAATATGTCGAGAAAAAGCATCGCCTGAAAGGTTTTAGTAGAAATATAGAAACTAGTCCACGTGTCCATGGTATGTGTTCTCGCGCAGTACCATAAAAAAAATCGGTAATTTCTTGTCGAAGCGATGCACCAGGCAAAATGCAATTTCAAAAGCAAATATTCAGTGCTAATATAAATAACTACCGCGTGGGAAAAGATTTGTTAAATCGACTCACTTTTCAACGACCAATACTTAAGCAGCTTGTCAAAAGTTTTTCTAAATATTCTTCCAATTTAGCTGTTTTAGCTTTTGAAAGAAAAGGAGATTACCTCCTTGAGAAGAACGTTGCCAGACTTTCTCATGGAATAAGGTAAGTTATTTGATTTTCACTTTATTAGTTTTTTTTCTGTTTAGTTTAAGACCAGCTAACAGCTGTTAACCCATAAATTCATAAATTACCGTTCCTTGCATGAGTTGAAGCTTCCATTTGAAACGTCATGTAAGAGAGTGACGATTCGTCCTCTAGTGCTTAGGACCAATCGGGAGGGAACAGGGGGCTTGTTTCAGCGGGGGAATACGAGGCGAACGCGTTCACCCCTCCCACCAAACAATCCGACTTAAATTGGAACTGGTTTTCTCCGTTAATAGAAGTGGTTCGTTTCTTGCCATTTTTCACTGGTAGCGTTGCATTGTCGTTCATGGCATCGGCCAATGTTTCCACCAGTTGTTCCTCCTTATCTTCGAACATCTCGTTGTTCATTCCTGGCCAAGGATCTGTTAAGCTTCCCGGGCCGTTGTCAACGATGAGTGGCATGCTCCCCCCTAAATTTGGCGATGCGCACCCAGTGAACGCGAACCGACCGGACGGGGTGGGAACTGGATCGGAGCGGACGGGCTGCAGCCTCAAGCTCTGCAAGTCAAGTTCTTCGGAGTAGAAGTCCATTGGGTGACCGTCCCTGCTGTGAGCTGCAATAGTGGCCCCGCTACCTGAGCCCCCAGACTTGAAGTCCCCCAAGCTGTTGGTGGACGAAGCTGATGAGGAGCCTGGCGGTTGGTAGGTCTTGAAAGAGAACTGAGGACCCATCCAGAGCCGGCGGTGAGGCGCCGCGTGGGTCTCCATATCTATGTTCGCCAGCCACTGGTCGTCGGAATTGCTGCCGTCGACGTGCGGTTCCTCTTTTGGGGTGTAGGTAATGAGAGATTCGCTGTCCATACCAATTTTCTTTCCTGGAGAAAACAAACAGAGAATAGCGTCTACGTTAGCCATTTTGAAACATCTTTTTGGGTATAAGACGCCAGCTCGATTAAAAGCCCACTTAAAAGTCCTGACGAAAGTGGAGGTTCATCTTGAATTGAGCATCATTATAAGATGTGTGGACTCTCGTTTAACGACTGGACAAACGAACGTCAGGAAAGAAGAGTTGTTCTTTTCACCTTGTTTCTCGGTGCGCTTTGCAAGTTCACTCGGGGTCGCTTTTGGACGCCCCAGCAACAAAGAAAGATCTTTGATGACGGGACTCTTGCTTTCAGGCCATGCTGTGCACCTAAAAGAACCACAAACACAATGGTAAGCACAGACACCAGGAGTAAAGCGAGCAAATTGTCTCCATGGAAAAAAATAGGCCATCTTAAACCCAAAACCAATTGAAAGTTGTAACCTCTGGCCATTCAGAACCAACGCAGATAAGGAGCTGAACCAATCAAAACTTGAAAGTGTGCAGCTGGCGCCAAAAACGCGTAAACCAAGTTACAATTGGTTTTGGCTTTCCCGCTAATTGGTTGACAAAACAAGCACGTCTGATCTGATTGGTCAGCCGTAATTCTTTTGTTTTGTGTTGCAATATCAAATATAGTAAGGAGGATTTGCATAAAGCTACTGGATAGATTTGATCCTGTTATACCTCGTCAGAGTCCACTGAGCTCTTGCTGTAGTGATAAGCTCCAGGGGGGTGTCATCACTCTGTGGCACGGTTTTAACCCCCTGTGGTTCCAGCACGTACTCAGTCAAGCTGCCGTGAAGGTCCAGTACAAAGAGCGAGTCAACAGCTGAAGACCTCAGAGGTTCTACGGAAAACAAACAAAAGAAAAATACACATACGATAATTGGTTACTGATATTAACCAATCATGTTGGCAGGTTGAACGACCAGATTTTCTCAATTTTGATAAACTTCATTTTGCAAAAGGCTAAGAGAAAAATATTGCTCAACAGCTTCTTCCAATGACCACACACTAGGGTTTCCACAGATTTTACAATGAGAAAGCTCTTAAATTTCGTAGTTTTTCCCCTGTTAACGTACCTTAAACTAACGTCTCATAATTGTTATTTTAGGAGTTTCAATAGTGCCCTTAGATTCTATGTTTGCCATAACAATTACCAAATCGACACTTTAGATGCTATGCCAAATCAAGCTAGCGTGATGATGTCTAACCTGCTCTGGCGGTGTTGGGACTTCCTCCTAACCATCCCCTAGACGGGGCAAACGTCATCGCCGCACCCATTGAATACTCCAGTCCTACTCGACCATTACACTTGTTGGAGTGCTGGGCCGAGCCAGTGCAGCAAGGTCCGCCGCATCGTGGGCCATCAGGGGTCCTTATCTGCGCAAAGGGATGTACCAGGTAGGAATGCGGCAGGGGAGGGAGGCGGGGATTTGCTAAACCATTATTGCTGGTTGAAGCGAAAGTCAAAGATTCCCTTGCCACTGGTGCCGCTGTGGAGTTGTGTGGGCTTCCGTTTGGTGAGCACGAGGGGTTGGGTCCTGTGCCGTTGCAGGGACTGTGTCGACCTGATGATGTAGTCGCTTGATCCAGGTCGTCTAATCCAGCGCTGGTGTGAAACCGACTGCTTCGGTTGACCACGCGGCGGGAGGAGTGGGTACGAACTGTTATGGAACCTACAAGGAAAAAGAAACTTTTAGCCTTCGTAAAGCTGACGCGACAATTTTCCGCGCACTCGTACTGATGTCTGATTGGTCAATAAAGATCGGTAACTTTTTGCGCCGAGGCTGATGCCGATGCCATACGGATGCTGGAAAAAGACCTCAGAAATCAGTTGCTTCGAACTTTAATTGAAAGGAATCAAATTATACTAAACAATTATTGGATGAGGTTTTTGTGATATCCAGAATAATCAAGGTCGAGGTAGGGGTTATCGGCCGAAGCCGAAGGCTGAGGCAAATAACCCTTACCGAGACCTTGATTATTCTGGATATCACAAAAACCGAATCTTATAATTGTTTTACTATACATTGAACGAAAAAAATTAAGTCATGTTTTTGCTTCTTCACTGACGGCAAGCAACACAAAGCGCGCGAACTTGACATGATTACCCGTGACCTTGAGTGTCCTTGACATGATTATTGTATAATCTGCAGAGATGTACGCTTTCGGCCAAATCAGAAAAGAGAGACAGAGTTCAATGTATAATAATACAAGTTATTTAAGTAGTGAAAGTATTCATATTGCAAGTGGCGTAAGTAATCGTATTGCAGTGTAAATTGTTTAAGTGATAGTATTGTAAGCAACATGAGTTAGCGTATTGTACTGTAAGTAGCGTAAGTGATCGTAGGTCATAGTATTGTAAGTGGCGGAAGTAGTAATCATATTGAATACGAAGTATTGTAAGTAGTGTAAGCAACTGTATTAGCTTTGTAAGTAGTGTGAGTAGCTGTATAATTATTGTAACCAGTGTGTGTGACAATCAATAAAAAAAAAAACAAAGCAAAAAAACTTTACCACAAAAAAAGACAAATCTACCAAATTAGAAACCATTTAATTTCGCTTTGGCCATTGAATGCAAGTTGCCTTTATGGGCTTAGAGGGTCTTACTTTCGTTAACTATGGTGTTTTTACGTACCCCCATACGGAGTGATGGGAAATACATGTACCGTGCCACGTACGGTAGAGACGGCCACCCATCGACTATCAAACGAAAACGACATTCCATGAACCTGCAAATGAATGTTAAATGTTGTTTGAAAATTAAATTGCCGGATCAGAGTGTGCACGTGACCGACAGAGTCAGCGGCAAGACGCAACAATTTATACTTCAGACGAGGACTTCAGAGAGAAACACCACGAGAAAACATGGTCACTCTATGGTTACTTGTTCTCACTTATTTATATGCTAAACGAAGATTAAACTTACAGTGGCAGTCGTGTCCCCTCTGTGGAGGGTGTACAGATGGTGGACAGCGCTTAATGAAGGGCATATGGGGTGTGGAAGAACATGATACACGTGGAAGTCGTTTCCAAGAACGTCGGCAGTCAACAGTAAAGAACCACTGAAAAATATAAACACGAGTGAGTATTACTGCTGAGGAATACCTACAAAATAACGACACTCAAGACCCATTCACAGCTAGCAACGTTTGAAACTTTATTGTAACTTTGGAAGGAAAACCAAGCATTTTTAGTCTTTTTAATCAATGTCAAAGCCCCACAAAGTTTGTCTAGGTTAGGACTTTATCTCTTATCTGGTTGAAATTCCTCAGTTTTGAGGCAAATATTCAGTCGCTTATTTACAGGGATTTTATGCATCGACTAAACATTTTCCGTACGAATTTATAGGTGGGAGTTCTCCTAACCTGGTATAAACAAAAAAGGTACAACTTTTCAAACCTACAATAACTTTCAAAAGGTTTGCCTCGACGAAAAGTTGCATACCTAGGGTCAAAGGACATACAAGACAGGGGCTGTCCAGCATGGGCAGGAAAATGGGCCACTATACCAGAACCCTCATGGTCGTCCTCCTGTACACAGAACTGCAATCAAAAAACAAACTTACACTGCATGAATGAAATAAAACTTCAATTTTAAATATGATGAAATTGCCTACAATTACAACAACAAAATAGATTTAATTTAGGGAGGCTGTTTTGAGGCGACTGACTTCCAAACAATTTTATGTTCTGATTAGTTGAAAATGAATGATAAACATTCAAGAGAGTATAAATTAAAATACCTCACTCCACTCCAGTGAGTGAGAAAAAAGAAGACTTTGTCTACTGTACCTCTCCATTGCCAATTTTCAGTGTGTCTATAATCGTGACGACTCCTGGTCTAATCACAGACTTCTTCTGAGGAAAAAAAACATAAGTTGTATTATTATTATTACACCCAGAAACTCATAATCTGATAGAACACAAAGTAAGTCGACGAAAAAACAGTTGTAACACTTGAGGTGAAAGTTTCAAATGTAGTTTTACAACACAGTGTACTCCCTGGAATAAGACCTTTTATATCATACTCACAGAGCCCACCTGGGTTGAATAATCATGTGTGACTTCTGTTCCTGTCCACCGACCAACTGTCTCTCCTGAAAATATAATTTAAAAGACATCTACTATAATGAAAATTTCTCAAAAACAACTTTTAAAATTCTGGCATACTAGTTACTCAGTTATGTAAAACACTCAGATTTATAACAAAAGTTCTCACCAAACATAGTCAGGCCTCTGGTTAGTGTCTGAAAGTGAAATATAAAACAATCAGTTTGGCATTTGCATTTTCTCTGGCTTTGCATTACTACACTACAATTGGTTGAACAATCTTGTGCCACTTTCTTATCCAATCTGAAGTAATTAAAACCACAACCAATTGCAACTCACTCAGCAAACACTTTTTTTGTGCCTTATGCCAGCTACATGTACTTGGTTTGAGTTTTGATTGGTTCACTAGATTGTCAATGTGCTCTTTGTGACTGGCCAGAGTAATACTTTGGTTTTGATTTTTTGACACTCAATTGAAAACTGCTATATTGGTTCAAGTAAATGACATTGGACTTAGGGGATTGCATAATATGACCTGAATGCAAACATGCATGATGTCTGTGGATACAGACCTGTTACTGACACACTGCAAACATAATTCTAATGTAACAGACATCTGGACATACCTTAGCTGCATTGATGACTGTGGCCGTGTATGATTGAGAATTGTCTCCACACACTCCTCCACAGGATTGATGGTTAGGTACAAGCTGGCAAAAAGAGCCAATCATTAAATACACAATCTTAGTTATATGTTCATATTACTAGCTTGTAACAGCAGTAGGAAACGATTTAGATATCACACAACAAAGGTGAACATTTGCAGATAGGGTGTACCTTGCAATCTGCATATGCCAGCCATCTGGTTCCCAGTGCCAATGGATTGAGGTTAGGGCTTGGGCCTGGGTAACAACCTAGTATGAAAAGGTATACCAAAATTACTTATCACGCTGTACCTATTAGCTAATGGACTGTTGTAGCCAAGTTTAATAGGCAAAAAGTAGTAAATGATTTTATTCTTTACCTCAGCCAAAAACAATATTTACAATCAACTTAGTTAGTGTAGTTATGATGAGGATCAAAGAGCAAAATATATCTGACTTCAAATATATATTCTGACAAAATATATATTTGACTTCAAATATATATTCTTACAGTTAACAACTGCATCATGCTCTGTGGAAGATAGGTGCCTAGGATATCCAGGGGCCTCCACCGTGACCAGCCCTANTAAATGATTTTATTCTTTACCTCAGCCAAAAACAATATTTACAATCAACTTAGTTAGTGTAGTTATGACGAGGATCAAAGAGCAAAATATATCTGACTTCAAATACATATTCTGACAAAATATATATTTGACTTCAAATATATATTCTTACAGTTAACAACTGCATCATGCTCTGTGGAAGATAGGTGCCTGGGATATCCAGGGGCCTCCACCGTGACCAGCCCTAGTCAGAATAATGCTCCCACGGCTGGCAATCCCTGCAACCCAGCCACGAGCCCCCACGCAGTCTTCCAGGCACCCATCACACTGAATTAACAGTGGAGAGGGGGAGGGGAAGGGGAAGGAGGGCAGAAAGACGTCGATGAATAGACCAAAGATGAGCAGGAAACTGCTTAATCCTACAACCAAACGTTCCAGGGAATGCCACGCTGGAACATGCCAATACAATTGCGAAGTACACTGAGCCTGCAATACCATATGAATACCACTGACCAGAAGTACCAGCTACTCTTTGTTATTAACTAAAATACTCACTAGTGATGCAGAAACAACTCTTAAAGGTGCATGCATCAAAAGCTGCTATCTTCTCTTGTAGGGCTATAACCATCAACCTAGTAGAAAATAGCAAAACTAATTATCACTCTTAATGGATTGATTTGTACACAGAAGTACTTTAAGTGCATTACTCCATGATAAGGTGGTCTGGGTTCAAGCTAAGCCTGCCCTGACATTGTGTTGAGGGAAAAGGGAAGTGGTATTGCCTATCATAGAAAATCAGTAAACAGGATTTTACAGAAATCAAAGTAAGACATAAACACTGGTGAGATGTCGGGTTTATCTGCTACCTTATGCCAGAAAAATGATTACAGTTTATAAACTGTGTGCTTGTGTATGCTACAGCATGTCTAAAAATCAAAGCGTAAATCATAATAATTACCTTCTGTTACACAGCACATCATAAACCTCAGACTTAAAAGCAATGGAATGAACCTGTTCACCAGTGCTGAGTGACCACAGATTGACTGTGGAGAATGGCAATGAGGGACTGAGGAAACACAAGGACATAATATAATTAGACAAGCCATGCAAACCAATAATTGATCAACACTTAAATAGTCTTCAGTAAACATTTTTTTGTCATTGATCTCCATATTCTTGATTTTGTTCTATGCAGAAAAAAGTCTGACTCTTCCATGGTGAAAAACCTCACAGGATCTGTCAGGATCTTCGAAGATCTTCCAAGATCTGCCAAGGATCCTGGAGGATATGGATACGGATCCTTCAAGGATCCTTGAATTTGCAGAGATTCTGAAGGAAATTGATAAGGATCTTAACTATAACATTCAAAGAACAAGGTCAAAGAGTGCTTTAATAGTGCAACCCACTTCTCCCATCCATACAGTAGAAATACGGTTTTAGTAGCAATATATTAAACAATAAAGACTGTGTTTGACCACATTTCCAAACACCGAGAAGAGAATGAAAATACAACAGGCAGTGTCAAAGTAGTTTTGACGAACTTTGAGGTGTTTGGAAAAGTGGTCAAACATTGTCTTGAGTGTTTGATATGTCTTCTCTATTGAACCTAACACTAAGGAGAGAACGGAGAAATGAGATTGTAAAAATCTATGCTAAATGAGATCAGATATCCAAACACCGTCATGGTCTTGATTTCCTTTGTTTAAACTTGATGAATTACTAATGAGTTTGAGAAGTTCAGTTCATAAACAGTTTCAGGTAGGCTTGGCATTTGACATCATACAAATTGAGTAAAAGAAAGAAGTTCGAAATTTTCCAGTTTAAAGAGTTGTGACCCAAGACTAAAATTAGCTTTCTACAGTTACTGCAGCTACTGAAACAGCTCACAGAACAGGCAAATTCTTTTACTTCTGACCTTGCAGCATCACATACAGCAAAGAGAGGTCTTGCATCTGCATGCTCATCCTTTGACTTTGCAGCTAAATATTAAAACAAAAAGAGACCAATAATAGAAGTGAATATATGAAAGATCATATATTTGAACTATAGAGAAAGATATGAAGATATGATTGATCATAGCAGTTATATACACAACTTACTGGTAAGCAGCTGTGACATTACATCAAGGGTTCAAATCCTGTTATAGCCTGAATTTTTTCAGGCTTTAATTTCACAGCTGTCTAAGTTGTGTAAATAACTGTGATGATTAATCATGTCTTCAGAGACCAATAATTATCATAAATTATAAGTAACAAGACCAGCCAGTATGGGCGTACAACAAAAAAGTGTCAGTGATATTTATGGGTTATTAACCAAGCGTGAGGCCAAATGGCTGGATATTGGACTCAAGGTCTATAATGATATAACAAAAGACTGAGGCCAATATCCAGCAAATTTTTCTCAATAAGCTCAGTGAATAAACCATTTAATATATGGCATAAAGAACACCAGTTTGTGTGTGCGTATCAGCAGACAGCCCTGAGTGGGCTGGCCAAAGAACAGGATTTGGTTCATCTTGGCCAATTACAGAGATAGACATATAATAAATACTGGTATTTATCAGTAATGAGTATGAGAGATGCAGACATGTGAGGGTCTTGGATTCTGGGTCATCAAGTCTCAGTACAACCTTGCCCAGGGCCTCGAGCAAAATATCTTTATCTCTAGAGCATGTCGCACCCAAATGTATGAATGACTATCAGTACATTGTTAGCTACGGCAAGAAGACAATGTGCTGGGGATTAGTCTAGGATGCACAAGTTTAAAGTTTCTTAATGGCAATTTAAACACTAACAATATATTCCTGTCACTCAGGAGACTAACTGAATGATTTTTCGCCTGTACATGTACCTTCCAGTGGGGTCTTGAGCAAGCGCACCAGCCTCACAGGACCCTGACGAAGAGATAACAACTCCTGAGCTTCGCCAGTTGACTGCAACAAAATCAGAGCATTACATGTTAACTAATTAAACTGATATTTTGATACAATCAATCCTACTGAAAAAATACTGAGTTTTAAACTGCTTACAGATCTATATTGGAGCTATTAATACTTGTATCTTATAGAACAAATTAAATAATATAGCTTCTTGAAGATAGTGTAGCTGATTTCAGAAATGTTATTTGTACACTTGTCCCTGATTTCCTTGGCAGCAAACGGCAAGAGGGCATACATGAGCTGTATATAGAAGACAGTGAATGTGTGCAGAAATCTCTCTCCTTTACAAGCCACAAACACCAGTCTTGCATCTGAACATTTTTGTGCATGATTTGGGTCCTGAGTGTTAACTCTGCAGGAGTATGAACCCATTAAATCTTGCTGCCAAACACTACTCATCCTGATGTAATAGTTCAGTATGCTTTCTCTTCAGCCAACCATATTTATTTACTTAATGATGTAGTTAACTTCAGCACTGGTTCCTAAGCTCTTAAGTATTATTTGCACTTACTGGGATGGTCCACACATGAAATCCATTGATGTAACCAAGAATCAACACTAATGGCAATGCCACTCCAGATGAAATCTCCTCCTGGTGAAGTGTGCTATCTGTATTGGTAAAAAAAATATATTAGAAACCATGGAGTTAACTCATTTAAAACTCCAATATTAAAGTTTAATATCACCACCCATCAGGGCATGTTGAGAGGGACCTAATATTATTTTATTTTACCTCAATACATGATTGAGGGCCTAATGATATATATATAAATCAGAATTTGTCATTTCCATATCATTTATTAAATATTAAAAGTGAAATGTTTATTCAAAATGAACCAGGGTAGTTTTTAATATGCCATGTAATAAGAAATGGAAAATATTTCTTTTGATGTAGAATTACAAATAAAAAATTTAAATACAAGTTATACAGTAACTGTGAACACTGAATTATGATCAACAAATTTTGTTCTCATATCACATTTTAGATAAATTAGGAAAATACAGTTGACTATAAAAATAAGCCAAAAAAAAAAGAATATTTCGGTGTTATCTTGGCACCACTATCAAGTGAAGAATGCAATGGAAAAGGCAATTTACACTAAACGTAAAGGTGTGAAAAAGAATAAATTAATTAAGACATGTTTCTCATACAACATACTCATCTGACACGCACATCAACTCATACAGTGGGCCATTGCAGTACATGTAGCTGTTCTAAAATATAACACTGATTTGTTGAAAAAAAGTGTGGTTCAAAATATCCTTTTACCATCTTCTTTCTTGTCAACATTATGTCATTATTATGTATTTTGAACACTTCTCTTACCATTGATGTCTGCTTCCTCAAACTTCACCCACAACACTCTCTCTTTATCTTCCTGCTTCTGGCCCCCTGTCACAGCCTGAGTGTAAACAAACAGATCTTTTGTTTTTAAGTTATTAAAATTTTAATTTAGGCAACATATTAACGACTTAATTCTAATCAGTACCACATCAAACCTTTCAAAGAAAAAACTATCAAAAACACTACTGAGACAGATCTCTCAAAATATAAAAATCCAGACTGTCTTGCACTTTCCAGATGACACATCAGGGCAATAATCCCAGCCTTTGACAGACTGTTGATGAGTTTCTGTACTCTCATCACTCATCTCCTTGATAATCTGTTAATGCTGTAAGAAGAATCTATATGTTGATTCAACCTTGAAAATTGAAGGGACCTCTTCTTGGATAAAAGACTTGAGCTTGCCAGGCCTGGGGTTTCATTAAGGGCCAAGTACTGGGCAAAATTCACCCGGGGTGGGGCGGGGGGGATTTGCATATGAAAGGGGTGGGGATGCTTATCGTCTCATTTAGGAATGTAAATTTTGGATTTTTGTCTCACTTGGGGTGTTCTGGGCAAAACGCCATCAAATGTAGCCCATATGTAGCTGTGAAAGTCTCATTTACGGTTTCATGCAAAGAAATATAAAAATATATATTTAATATGTTTTAAATATGGACTCTGACCAGCTGTGAGGACAATTTTGCACGGCTGATATCACCATCTAGTAGACAGTTTTTTATAAAGAAGTTCAGTTTAAATAGTTTTGCCTGCTTGTGAAAACCAGTTGCCGTCCTGCTGAAAACATTAATGAAACCCCTGGCTTGCTGCATTTTTGTTAATAGTGAACTTCACGGAGTTCTACAAGGAGAGAAGTCATTCAGATTGACAGAAAAATTAAAACAGTTCAGAACATTGAGGTCCTTTAGTTTTTTGTAGTTGAATATTAATTATATGCACAACATGTCATGTTAAAAATCATGCAAACGATTATTCCTTACAGCTGAAACTATTCTTTAAGCCAATTAGACTTCGACAGTCCAATTGATTTGTTGACTTAGAGATAAGATAGATTAAAACTGACTTAATATTTAAAGACATCCTAATTCATGTATTGTAGAAAATTTGTAAAATCACGCAAGTATAGTACGCCTTTCTTGGAAAAAACACAAAGAAATAGGCAAGTTATGTAATTATACAGCAGGAAATTTTATCAATATTTTGTCACGTAACACAATGACGTTTAAGCCTAATCACCTCAGCTTGTGTTACCAGGAAGAAATACTGTCGAAATTTTACTTGTTTCAGTGTTGAGATTACTGTGAATGGTATCAGTTAAACACGATCTTAAAAAAAGGAATGTTTTCCCGTGGAATTCAGGAAAGAATTTACAAAATTAATGTTCCAGCTATACATGTATTAATGTTTACGCAAAACACATTAATCTAGGGTCTAATATATTCCAGTAAAACCTCTGGCATCTTTATGCTTATTAGCCCATGACAAACGTTTCCAGCGCCAAATCAAAACATGAACTTTGCTCACGTTTGCCGTAGCAAATGACAACTGCAGGAGTTGTTAATTTCAAGGCCATTAAAAGGAAAAATGTACAGCACAGAAAATTATTCACCACACCTAACAATAGTCACGTACGCTTTTGAGCTGAATTTCGAATCGATTTCCCAATTGAAGGGGTCTTTCACGTTGTTTATAAAATTTTTCGAGTTCAAAGGCTTCAAACAACCTAAAATATCACGCAAACTGAAAATGAAAAGGCACAAAAGATAAAAATAGTGGGAATCGCTGACATACACAGGATGACGTTATGGAAATACAAATTTTTTAGTTCGAACAAAAGAGGTATACTTGCCTGCGGTACAACATCATGTAGAAAGCTCACCACACTTTCCACGTAGGACTTGTCGCTACAAAATGGCCAGATCAACATTAATAAAACACTGAAGGACTCATAAATCGACAAACCAAGCCAAAACATTTTGTCGAATGGTTAAAAAACCTGATAGCTTGAGGTCGAACAACAAGCCCGCCACCGCGAGAAACTCGTCTTCCAACAGAGTCCACAGACATCGTTTAGAGCTATGAAAAGCTCTTCTGGATCTTCAAAACTGAAGATGAGTAAGCTGGGTAGCTTTTGAACTCAATTTTTTTCACGTTGCCATCGTCGTTTCTTCATATGTTCCTTTGAACATCATTTTTGATGACCAAAACGCTGTTTTGGCGCTGCGTTACGTCAGAAAAAAACATAATCATTGTTTATCTGCCTCGTTATCAACGGTTTGGCGAGAGGCCTAGGCACTAGTACTCTGGAAGAGGCAATGGCAGATTTTCCTTTGTTTTAGTTTTTTTTATACCTTCAATATATATTAAAGTCCTTTTCTTCAGAAAACTCTCTTTCAGGGAAAGAGACAAAGCAAACCAGAGCATAAGATCAAAATAAAACCATTTCCGGACTATTTTCGAATTAACTTTCATTCGTGCTACGTACATTGTACCCAGGGTCATGGTCACGGAATATCAAATTAAATCGAACTTGTCTGAGATAAAGCTGACCACTTCTTGAACAATTAAGCTATCGACTACAATGGCGTACTTTTGTCGACTACAATGGCGTACTTATTTTTCTAAGTTCTGTAGTTCGTGTAGCCGATCTGCGAGGAGGGGTCTTTTGCTTTTGTGACGTCAGTCATCTAACATTTATCTTTTTATCTTCTCGAGTGAAAGTGGCGGGTTTCATTCTTACCATTTAGCGATGCATCATTCAGTTTCCCTATACCTATTAACTGGTTGGCGATAATATTAACTAACGTCAAGCTAATCTGTCGATACAAAGAGTCGAAACAAAGGAGACAAAATGATTGCAAATATTCGATTCTGTTTCGAACCAATTTGACCTGAATTTGACAAATGGCACTATCGAATTTACTTATTTTAAATTCAATTATTATTTTGTTGGCTTCTTAAGCTTTTTGACCGATCAAAGCATCAGTAAACAAATCAGCAAACGGTCAGCTTAATTCTAGGTGAAGGGGCCAACTATGTTAGGGGGTGGACAACCCGTGACGGCCTCGTGAAATACGCCCATTATGACGTGCGGGGGGGATAGCATAGATTTAGCTGACCGATATTTGTTTTTCCTTTTCCAACCCGGCAGAATTTTTTTGCATGCCAGCATATTTTTTTCTACGTCAACCGTTTTGCTGGATTTTTTTTTTTTTCGTAATCTGAAGCCGCTGCTCGATATGTATTGGTTTATTTTTGGAGTGGGGAGGGGGGTACTTCAAGTGACTGCCACGCGCTCTTCACGGGAAGATATAACAATTACTGTACTTCATAATTATCAGTTGCCCGTTGTTTTCGATATAACAACAAATGGTGAAGTATTGAAGTCTGTGCATAAACATAGTCCTCACGGATTGCACTCTATAACACGATAAACCGTTACTAATCTGATTATACCGTGCCGTTTGAGTTCAAGTTTGGGTACAAACAGTCTCGTCGTCTGTTTGTCTACTTTTTCAAATACTGAATGTGATCTTGAATAAAAAGTTTTCCGGGTTAAGGATGCATTTGTGCATGGATTAATAATGGATTCAGTCTTTTAGAAGACAACAGGCTGACTCAAATTTTGACCACTGTAGTCTGATCTCCGCTAGGCGACCATCTCCCGCATGTGATCGCATTGGCTTGACTGGCTCGGCACTCCAGCTGGTCTGTGGGTATAACCTGGCCGAGTCTATTGTTTCCATCCCGTCTCATTGTTCCCTTCCCATAAAGTATATTATAGTCTCAATGTGCTGTTTTTCTGTTAAAAAAAGAAACTTAACCACGAAGAACCCAGAACTTGAAAAGGAAGGTTCACCGGTTTTGAATATGAATGTTTTTGGTTCTTTTTCGTGTATTGAGTGATCTATTTTGAATGCATTGCTCTTTATGTCCTCGTTTTTAGGGTACATTGACACTGACTTGAAACCTTTGAACCTATTTTTTATTGTTACAACAATTCTCGATTATGATTGGTTCTTCGCGTACCTATTTGTCTTACTTAGCGCGCGATCACGTGGGTGTCCAGTTACAGATATGCAGTTACAACTTGGATATCTGAAATATTGGATTCCTAGGACATATCACGCGCGCTTTAGTGGTTTCCTTCTTAATATTCCTTACAGTTTTATAAACTAATCTCACTTATGAAATCACTAATTAATATTTCGTTCGAAAGAAGTTTGCGTGATTACCCCGTGAATTGTTCTCCCCTCGGTTCAAATATTATCACTTATTAATCCATTTAACTGAAAAAACACTCAATTTTGGTACGATTTGAGCAAAACAGTGCCGGTTAAAATATTTTACCGTAAGCAGAAGCAAAAATTTGAAGCAAATTCGGGTCACTAGTCACACTTTGAACGATTCCCGAGCAACCTGCCTCGCTCTCAAAAAATCTTGCACTTTGCACGCCAGGACGTCGTTACGCAGAGTTATTTCGGTGTAAATATTAAAGCATTGCAGTTTGATAACTTTGGCTTGGCATCAATTCTTACTTATCTTAAAGTGTGCTTTCACTAGCGCATCACAATAAGCAACATACGCAGATGCCGTAACGAGCTGTTCAGTTGCGGATTGTTGGTAAAAAAAAATTTCCCAACCAAGGGGCTACTTAAAATCTCCTTACTGTGTCCGATTATATTTTTATTTAGTGTAAACCAGCCCTAACATCTGTGGCAAAATACTGCAGCAAAGCTATACTCCTGCAAAAGGAATTATGATTTTTTCATCAAGTAATGCCAGGACTGACCATCTTCCACCAACCCCCACCCCCGCCTAGCCCCCACCCTTACACAGAAAGTACATCGGTGGTGGGATCGTTATACACAAGGGGACGCAAAGCTTGTTGATTACACTGCCAGATGCGAACACCCCAGAAGGGATGAGTTATTTTACAGTGAAATTACGAATTCGAATTTTCCTTAACTTTCTTTCCTGTACGCGAGTTTACGCGTCAAGTGACAATGACCATAACAAATAGAGAGCACTCTTAGAGAGTTCAATTACACATTTATTGTACAGAAAGACATTACTATTAAGTCTCCCATTAGATGAATCCTTGATAGTCGAGGTTCCTGGAAACGAGGAAACATTCGCTACGGAAGCAAAACATTTCTGAGACATTTTTTGTCTCTCGGAAACAGAATTTGCTCGGAAACAATGTTTTCTCGTTGTCGGGGGCCTTTATGTATCGCTTCTACTTGATTTTCACTCATGAGAGTTCATATTTTGTATTCATGTTAATACCTGTACATCTGTTTGTTATTATCTATTGATACCGATTATTACAACTCCATCAAAAAGACGCAGTTCCACAGGAATTTTGAGTAATGACGATGTATAATAAACATTGGAAAACTCCTTATACTGGTATACTGAGAAGTGTTTCTAGTGGAAAAATGAAGTTTTACTCATACTGTCAAACATCTCGTTACGGAATCTGGAGAGCGTGAAGCGCGCGGAGTCACGGTCGTTATCGCTGACTAGAGAACTCGAGAAACGTGAGATCTGAGCAAAAGAATAGACCTCACGTCTCCACAGTACAACGTCTTGTGGAGTTGACATGATCTGTTCTCCATCTCTCGCGGACGGTTCTTCCAATTCGATGTCCGTACGGCGAGAACCGACTAAGCTGATTTCTGTTATCAGTTGCCGAAGAGCACATTCCAATCGAACAGTAGATTTCCCTACTAAAAGTTCTATACCAACTTAATTACGTGTAATTTTATTCAATCTTTTCCTAGTTATATTCTTAACGAAAATTATTTATACACTCTCACCTATTAAACTATCTAAAACTACGTACGGGAAAACCCTGCTCTTTAATCCTTTAACGTTATAAACCCTATTTCTATTTAATATAAATGTCTCCTTTTCTAAAATATACGGTATATAAAGTTAAACGACTGAATTTATTTACTTTTTAAGGGCGTATATCGCAGTAATGCGCATGTGCCGGTTTATTGACGTTGTCAGACTGCCACCACATTTTGTGCTATTCTTTGAGAAATCTTTCTTAAACATACACCATACTGGTAATGGTCGTACTTCAACTATATCCTTTGTATTTCTGAGTGAAAAAAGCAAATAGACCGTGCATCTACCTTATTATTAATGAGTTTCGCACGTATTTAATATCGCGAAAATTCGAGAGCTGTATTTCGTGAGTATTAATTTTCGCGATCAGTCCAGGAAAAAACTGTACACAAGTAGATTTCGCGGTTCTTTGCCACTGCTTTTATATCTCAAATCCTGATCCGAGGACCCCGTTTCACTATAGGGGGCCTACAAATGGAAAATTTGATGACTACTTAAAAGGGTTTGGCGGATTTACAAGCTGAAGATAACAGACAATGAATCGGAGGAAGAGTGCTAACTGGTTGAAAACAAGACCATAAAGACTATATTTTCATGGACAGAAATTGAACAATTACCAACGAGGCCGTGACTCAACGCACTGTTTTCTAAATGTTTAATTTTCGCACGCATTTTTTCCAAACGCGAAAATCGCGAATTTTAATAAGAATAAGGTACACGCAAGCTATATAACACTGGTGACAAAACTCTTCTGAACCGTCGCCTAAAATCTAGATGCGCTCGGTTTTAGAGAAGGATGTTCTTTGTACTGTGAGCTGCTGCATGTTTTAAATTTCAATGTACGCTTGTGAGAATAATTTAGAACTAAATTCTAATAAGTTGGATACCACGATACAATACGACCGAGTCCTAGTAAATTACTAGAGAGTGCTAAACGGGCGAACACAACGATTCTATCGTGTATTGTAAAATACCTGAGCTACTACGCGCGCTCTCATTGGTCGACAGGTGTGTTTAGATGAGGGTATGCAAGCACGGTTGTGACGTTTTAGATTCGCGCGTATTTTTGAGAGTTATTTTATAAAAGCTACAGGGCACTTTTTCCGTGTTTACATAGCCTCATCTAAACACTCGGGGGTTTGGAGAATTCGCGAAAGTAATGCAAACCCTCGCCTACGTCTCAGGTTTGCACAACTGTCTCAAATTCTCTCAACCCTCCACGTGTTTAGATGACGCTATGTAAACACGGAAAAAGTGCTCTATTGCTTGACTTCAATTCTGGAACAGTCTCATGGGACAAATTGGGCAAAAATTTAGAAAGAGCACATCCGATTGACTATAAATCAAAAATAGGCCCAACTGTTCGTTCGCTCTGTTGTGCTAGTTTCCTGAGCTCAATTAAAGAAATTTAGTTTCGAGAGAACTTGTTATGTTTCGCCCGAAACGTTTCCTTCTTAATATAAAATAACGGATACTGAATAGTTTCGCTTAAAAAAAATTCAGGGGCGGTTTCGATTCTCTCTGTAATTAACGAATGAACTTTGAACAATCTTCGAATCTCTGAAACCGCAATTCTACTGGAAAGCAAAACTTTGCAAATATTTTCTTAAATATGCAAGGATCGGGTAACAAAGGTTTCTCTGTATCCGAAAGACGTCGAAAGCTTTGGAAAAACCCCTCCAAGCGAAGTAAGTTTGACGAAGGCTGATGTTTTAGCAGAGATTGAAATATATATAGAGGTCCTCTAAGCTTACTATTAAGTATTATCTTCGTTAGAGGTTTCGGACGAATGAACACGTGTTTCGAAACTTGGAGAAAGAATCGAAACTTTCCTGAATTAATGAAAGTCATGTTTTTGCTGACATCTTAACGACATGTTTTTGTTGACATCTTGTTCCCAATTGTTGCCAAGCATAACGCAAAATTTCGTTTAACATGTAGACTCGTCAGGTAATATAATAACTAAAAGTCGTAGCTATATTTGAGTGACTTGCTTTAGTCTCGTATATTTATGACTGTTTGCAATCCTTAGCACAGGTAAAGACCCATTCGAGAGCCATAGTTTCTTGGCACATTCATTGGACACCAGATAACAAATCAAAACAAAACAAAACAAAACAAGGTTCCTAGATTCAGAAAAAACTTATTCTATAGGGTGGATTGGTTCATTGGAGACCTGCGAAAAACGGCGAGTAAAATTAAAGGCTGGGATTAGAACAGACTCCTTGGCATTTTTTCAACTTTCCGTTCTTTGCTCCGCCCCCACCTAACTCAATTAAATAAAAACTATGCATACTGTGGTAATTATTGACAGTAAATTGTAGCTTTCTAGTTATTTTAAGACTGGTTTTCACTAGCGACGGAGTCGGAGTCGGAGTCGTAAGAGAGCTAACGACCTAGTGAAACTCGAAAATCGGAGTCGTAAGCGGAGTCATAAGCTCGATGGAATCGGAGTCGGAAGAATCAGAACGTTTCCATTTCTTCCGATTCCGTTTACGACTTCGTCGCTTACGATCCAGTGAAAACTAGGATGTCGGAGTCGAAAGCAGAAGCGGAAGAACCAACCAATCACGAGGCCCGGTATCGAGCATTGTGATTGATTTATTCTTCAGCTTCTGCTTGCGACTCCGACAATGCAGTTTTCACTAGATCGTAAGCAACGGAGTCCTAAGCGGAATCGATCCTCTGCTTCCGACTCCGTCGGTTTGATTTTCACTTGATCGTATCGCTCTACTCTTCTGATTACGACTCCGACTACGACTCCGTCGCTAGTGAAAACCAGCCTTTAAAAGTTAAGCCTAAATTTCAGTCGTCTCCTCTGGTTAAAGGAGCTACGCCACGGTTTGCATATCTTGAAAGGTTTAGCCTAAGGTTTTCAAGTTTGTCGATTGTAATCAGTGTTAATCTTCTCCATCCTTAATCATCCCTGTTCCTTTATGGTTTATTATTATCTCTTTGGTGTTTCTCTATCTTGAAAACTGCTATTTTCAGTTTTTCCTCGATTTAAAAGTAATTTTGTGCACGGCCAAAATAACTTAGAATACCGTTATTGACTGAGCTCCATTAAACGTCCAGAGAAGACTGCCAAAATTGCGCCTAGGGTGAGAATTCTTTATCTTGTTCGTCGTATCAGCGCTGTGTTTCGAGGATTTAATTGTGATCGCAAGTTACCATGATCTTCATGCAACCCAGACCTGACTCAGAGCTAGAGGTATACAGAACTCCAGTAATGTGTTATCTATCATCTCTCTGTATGGTCAGCTGGGACTGAAGTATCCTCTATAGAATCATTGTCGTTATTTATTGGTGAATACTGTTTCCTATCACGATCCATACTACCAGTACTGTTAAGACCACGTGATCTCGACGCCTGTTCAAAGAAACACAAAGGCAAAAAACAAAATTAGCCCTTAGATCTATAGATAACAAGAAATCAAATTACATTACAAGCTTAATAAACCAGATATCGTTTATTTGTATTTAGTACTTAATACATGATTGAGAGACCACAACACGCTCTAGGAAGGCTGTACCTTTTTTAAGTCCTCTCTCTAAAGTGCCTCCCGCCCCTAATAACATTTCATTTTTTTCATTGCTCACCTATCGACTTCCCCTTCCCTCCCCTTCCAAGAAGAGAAAGTAAGGCATTTTATGAAAGCGAAAGAGAGTATTTTGAAGTATGAATATTTTTTGTATTATCAGCACAACGCACAGACGACCCCAGACCTTTTATTCTTGCTTTGTTGCCAAGAGGTGCACTGGCTGATTTATGATTTGAAATAATCCCTTCTCTGGTTCCCTCACTTCTAGGGATGTAAAGCGAACCCCCCTCCCCAATTTCTTTAACGAAGGACCACTGGATTAACACTCTAATACTGTAATGAATCTTACTAGACCCTCTTTATGTAAATGAAACTAATACAGATATTATCAAGATTATATTGTCATTGTTATCATTATTCATCCCGAGAGTGTCAGAGTTAAAATAAGAACAAAAAAAATCATTTCGCCGTTGTTCAACAAAACAGAACAAGGCGGGAGAAACAAAGAACACTGCTCGATATCTTTCATTTTTTAAATAACGTCACACTCGGGTTACATCTGCAGACTTTAAAAACAGAGACAATTTGTATTGCCAAATAAACAGTACCTCATCAAAGTTCAGCTCAATAGCTCTCATTTGAATAGTCACACAGTAAGATTGAAATAAGCTTATACAGCAGAAAAAGAAACAAAGTTTGCTATACACTATACATGGTCTTATTCACGTTCTATGAAAGTGAAAGCCGTTAATTTGCAAAAAATGTTAGTTTGCCTTTGAGTTTCAAAACATATCTAGACGCTAGAAAACCCTAATGCAGTGAAAGCTTCGTTATTTAGAGCAGATTTGATAAGTGACAGAGTATAGATGGATGGGAGGATGGCTAATGATAGAAAAGATGAACATGGATTAGTGGTCAATACCTTTGTAAGAACATACAGGTATTTAAGGCTTGTTCCTGGTTACTGATCATCTGGGCTGTACTCTACAAGCTGCCATTCCCATGTCAGTCATATACAATCAAAATAGGATTTTGGTTGGTGAATTAAGGCCTGAGATTGTTGTACTCTAAAATGGCGTCTTACTGATATGAAACACATCTCAGAAACAACATTCAACTTAAGGCAGAACTGCTGAATTTTAACAGCTTTTATTGATAGTTTATGTGCTATATCTTGGGCTTGAGAGCAATACTGGAAGAATTCCAACCCAAAGTTTGTTTTTTTTTTGAAGGTGGTGTGGCTTATGGGAAAGTACATTCCATTGACGGGTATTGAAGGGTATTGACAGTATTGACAGTATCATGTATGAACTGAGTGAAGCAAGCCTTTCCACCAGAAACAGAGGCGACATTCTTCCAGAACAGTCCCAAGCAGGCTTGTTAAGAAATACTTTACTACATTTATTAACTTCAAACGTTTTTGATGCAAAATGGAAAGTAGATACCTTACCTGGTCTAATACTTGGAAAAATGTTCAACAGAAAGTTTGACAAGAGCCTTCTGGTTTGCTATTTTATCTATTAGTTCTCCCAACTGCACAATCATTGCACTAAGTTGTCTATCATACTCAATGAACTGTTAAAAGAAGATTTCAAATTACCCGATTGCCTTCAGATCCACTCTCTGAATCAGAATCTTCAACAAACAGATACTTTTTCTCCCTGTAGAAATACTTCTTCTGCAGCACATACAGCACTACGATGTCACTCAGAACTGTAGCCTAAAGGAAATACAAGTCTGCTATAAATGTGACATGGCAATCCTCTTGTGTGAGTACAAATTTTGCCTTTTTGTTGCATTTCTATTTAGAGGATTGTGAGCAGTATCAAAATTAATTTTCACCCGATTCAGTTCTTCTAAAGGTTACTTGTTTTATGGTCAGTAGCCAGAGTTTTAGAAAAACTTTTGTCAAAAACATAGAATCATTTTAAAAAGCAGAGGGAAAATTTTATAATTCACAGGCTAACAACTTAGCTGGCTGAACAAGGATTGATGTTCGTATCTACTACGTTCATAGCCTGACTTTTCAACTTCCAGGTAACACTGCAAAGGGTGGCACATTATGAGTACTTACAATACTGAGCAGGGCAAGGCCTGAACCCAAATTGAGAAACAGAGGAATCGCACTAAACTTGCCTCCCTAAAGGACAGAAACATGCAAATATCAGTTAATTAAAACAAAGTGCTANTTATCCAGTGATTCAGTTTTTAATATTTAAAATAGTTTTTAAGTGTATAACACGCACTTGCAGCTTTTGAATATTCAGTTTTATTACTTAAGTACCATATTTGGAATCGTGAAGAGTTGAAGAATACACCTTTATGCAATATTTTTGGTTTAGTGCTGAGTTAATACCTGAATTCTGACCTTTATGTTGTTAATGTCTCGAAGAAACTAAAGAAAATCATTGAGAATCTAGGTGAAATTCTCCAAAGTACTGATGACAATAGACAGAATTCAACCAAATTTAACATCTTTCAACTTGTCACAAAATGTGTTCAACATCTACATGCATGTAGCACGAGCTTGTATATGCTGTAAAATTACTACAAACTGTATCTGCAAAGAGAAAGATCTTTGGAAATTCTTTGCGCAAAAATTTTGAATTTTGATATGTGAGGTACATGACTTAGTGCAGGCAGTGGTAATTGTTTGAATACTTGATTTTATCTCTCGATTTTCTGAATATAGTAATTAACAAAACTGAACAATTGGAAGCCTGTCTTTAAGGGCACAAGGGGTAGTTACACAGTTAAACTTCTCATGAGTTTCTCTATACACAACGGAGAGTACCCTTCAGGGAATCCCCCTAGAATGTAAAAGTTTACCTTGTAAGCTATATCGTCAAAGTCAACATGTGCCAGTTCAACTATCTTCCCAAGCTTGAATATGGGACACAGGAGATCAGTGTCAGGATTGTAATTACAGGTCTTTAAGTAGGTTGCATTATCAGTTTGGATGTTTCTCCTGCAATGAATGAATGAAAACTTGACTCGTTACATGGTAAAAATATCAGTACAATTATAATAGAAAAAAGAAATACATCACATGTAAAATTTTTCATTTACTGGTTTACATATTTGCCATGTGGGAGTCTAATGCAGAGAACCATTTATTACTACTTCTCTTGAAGAGGTCAAGAGATTTTGTACTGCAAAGTTCCTCGGGAAGATCTTTTCATAGATTGATATAAATGGATACAGAAAATATGATATATAATCAATTATTCAACATTTTCGTAGCATTTTTAACACTCAAAGTAGAACAAAATTAATTGTATATGACATGGCTCAGATTTAGAAGTGACCCATAAGTTTCATAAAAATTATTTTAAGTCAATGAGGTATTTTAGGATATTGCAACATTTTGATATTACGTCCTGAGATTAATCTGGTTCAAGTAACCTTTTTGCCTTTTTTGGTGGGTGTCTTTTTCATCATTCGTCAATATCAGATATCAGCAGGGTGCTGTAATGCTAGAGCTATGGAGAGATGCCTGATGAGTTACTGGTCATGCGCTATCTTCATATGTGACCCATTGAAGTTGCTGTTGGTCACTAAAATTTAGGCCTACTATTTATACAGGAATCAACATTTGATCACAAATTACTACCAGTACTGATAATAATAAACAAAGTTCCGAAATGGGCAAAAACAATGCTCATTAAACAGAGTCCATTTTGAAATCTATCTTCTGCTTCTTCATCCCTCCCTTCTTCTGTTATATTTGTCAGTGTGCTTTTCATTTAAACATTCACATGTGTGGTACACAAGCTTTTGCAAATCAGCCCGGTTGTCTACAACTTTTCTCTTTTTATCACTCCAATAATGCCACCACATTTGAAAGCACTGGTTTTTATCAAAAAAGTACAAATTACTTACAGAGCTTCACCAAACTTGGGAAACTGTACACTGTTTTTAATCAGCACTGTGAAATCCTTGGCAGCATCTAAAAGAGGAACATTTTCCCTAGAAAAGGAAAGAGTATATGTTAGAACCAGAAACTTTAAAAGCAACCTCACTATCTATACAATATGGACTGATTTTTTGTATTTTAATGCAAAAAAATCACTGTTTTAGCAGACAGGAAGAAGGCCTGGCATAAAGGATGGTCATGATCATCCATCCCAATGAGTTTCATTTTACGCACCTCAAATTAAAGCCTTGCATAGGAAGTTCATCTATCTCCACAGGGCACCAAGAATAGATTTCACAAACATGGCCTTGTCCTCTGTCAGCCTTTACACAATTTCCAGTCTTAATCCCTTGAAGTAATAAGGAATTTTATTACTATTTAGAACAGTTTTCAATTGAGTGTCGAAAGTAACCAGGCAATTACTTTGGTTTTGGTTTTACTACGGATTGAGATTGGCTGAGTAGTCTAATTGGCAAGTAATTGGTTTTGGTTTTGGTAACAACTATGGTTTGAGATTGACTGAGTGGTTTAATTGGTCAGTAACTGGTTTGGTTTTGGTCTATGACACTCAATTGAAAACTGCTCTAAAATAAACATACTGTTACATAGCATGATATGAAAGTGCTAAACATTAGTTCAGTTTTTCTGTCCCTTTCAACAAGTTCTGGTGTTATAAGTGATAAATATATCCAATTTTTTTATCCACCCCTCTTCCTGTTGGTGATGTGTACCTATTTTGCACATTTCTGCCCATCACTCTCTGCCCAGGCTAAATCTTGCCACCAGAGTATACTGAGTCAGAGTGGCTATATTCACATAAGATTGATTAACTATAAAATTGGCACATTCATGGGTTAATGTTTCTTAATCTCACGTCTGTAGATGCAAACCTTGAATCAGATCAAGAAATCTATTGACCAGTACTTTTACTGAGTACGCTGCAATCTTAAGAACTACTGCAGCTCATGGGTGGCTTACCATTGCCATTTGGAACAGGTTCAAGTGGTGTACAGTCACTGTCGTTGGTGCACTTTACACCTTCAAAATTTGGGTCCTCAGGGCATGTGCCTTGTTTTTGGTCTGGAGAGATTATCATGTTTGTCATTACAAACACAGCATTATCTTCCTGCCAAGATAAAATTAATGATAAAATAAATAGGTAAGATAAGGCCATCCTGAAGGGAATAAGATGGCCAAGAGTATGTAGTACCATGGGTATCATTAGTAAAAAAAGTCTGCATATAGGTGTATGAGCCAAGTGGCCCATCAGGCCGGAGCTTGTCCCGGTTTCTGTAGCATGAAGCAACTAGGAGTATTTCAATCTACTCCCCCTGGATGGGATGCTAGTCCACTGCAGTGTCACCCCCAGCATTAAATTCGCCGGTGCCCATTTATACACCTAGGTGGAGAGTGGCACTGTAAGAGTACAGCGTCTTGCCCAAGAACACAACACAATATCCCAGCCAGGACTTGACCTGGACTTCTCAATCCGGAGTCAAGCACACTAAGCATGAGGTCACCGTGCCTCCCTCATCACTAGTAATGCTACTATTAATAATGTATACTATTTATACCTCTGGGGGTATGACAAAATCAGATGAGTCCCAGACATGCACACCTCCATACAGTGCCAGTGGATTACTGCTGTTTGTTAAGTTTGTGAGTGATAGTCCCTTCACTTTTGTTGTCACAGAACTGTAAGGCTTCTGAAACTCCTGGTATCCTTTTTCATAAACAATCACATATCTAAGAATTTAAAAAAGAAATAAACAAAAAATGTATTAATCCAACAGCTACAGTGCATTTCTTACTGAAATTTCTGAGAAGGTCTGTGAGTAAATCTCAGTCACTCTAGACATAGTTAACTGAGGAAAATGGTTATGAAACCTGGCAAAATTTTTTCTTGTATGTATTTGTTGGCTATTTTGAGGGTTGACCCTGCACAAAACTTGGGAAAATACAAAAGGTGGTTACATGTGCTCATACAACTGACCCATAGAAGCATTGGAATTAAGTAATCCATGCATACCATAAAACAAAAGATGTGCAGGGTAAAGGGCCTTCTAACATAAATCTTAGTCTGTTTGTTTGCTTCACTGATGTTTACCGGCCTTCCTAACCATTTCCCTCTATCAACTACGCTCTAGACCACCTAGCATTTCATGTTATAATGAAATGAAATTCCCTCCAAAATTAGCTTTATCTCTCTTTGACTCCAAGGACTAATGCTGCAAAAGACCAACAATTTCTATAGAATGTTTTCCAAAAGGCCATTTTACTGGCTGATTTTATCTTTTCTTTTCTTTTTGTGTTTCTTTGGAGGGGGGACTAAAGAGGAGACAGGGGGGAGGGAAAGGAGGGTTTTCTGTAGTAGCACTGGACTTATTATTGAAAAGAATTTTGCATTTCAAACATGATTGTGTTTCAGTTTGCCAAGACTAATACATGAGCAGTCTATCTTAGCAGCCCATATTGTAAAATTGAGACTGCTCTGGTAACCAATTTGCTATTTCTCATCATGCACGTTTCTGCTCTCATTGTAATGCAAACTGGTTACCCTGACCACTTCCTTAACAGAAAATATGGGACCAACATTAAAACATTTTGTTTGGCTACATTAAGCTGTTAGGGACACTGAAGGGACACTGAAACTGTGAACACTTGTCATTCTTTTGTGCATTTTTTTAGTGCCTATATAGAATGATGACTCTTCATAATAACAAAAGTGTTAAGAGTTTTAACTGTGTCGATAACAAAATTTTCAATTGTGATAATTATTTGGTTCTCTACATGCCTATTTGTTATGCAATCAGCACACAATAGGCCCTTTGCAGGATCCGGTCACACAGTACGGAATCAATTAAGCTGGGACACAAGTTACACAATGGGACTTCCAAAACAAAGGAACTCGTACCAGTCCAGCCTAACTTACCTTTGTTTTGGCTGTCCCACTGTGTAACTTGCGTCCCGGCATAATTAATTCCGTACCATGTGACCGGATCCTGCAAAGGACCTATCATGCAGGTGTCCAATTACAGGTATCCAATTACAACTTTTTGTAACTAGATACCTACATCATTTGACAACAAAAATTATGTGCTTTAATGGCTTCCTTCTTAACGTTTTCTACAGTTTTTAAAACTTACGAAAAGCACTACTGACTTTTTCACGGAAAAGAAGTTCTTGAAACAGGAATCAGAACTTTGAAAGCAAACAATTTTGGGCTGTAAAAAGTATAGGAACAAGTAAATATGCGAATTACAGAATCATCATGTTCTGGATTTGATGTCACATCTGGCCCTCAACCCACGCCCCGATAAACTCAGTCGTGAACCAAAATGGCGGCATTTTGACCTACTTTGATGAGCCATAGAGAATCAAAGATTTAACCCAATCTAAATATTTTTATGGCAAATTACTCCACAAAATAAGCTTTACTGTTTTAGCGAAAAAAAGTTTCAGGGGTTAGGTGCACTTTAAGTTTCAAATTAAAGCAAACTCAGGTCTTAGTTTTTGAGATTCAGAGGGAGTCTTTAAGGCTGTAGTTTTTGGGATTTGGAGAGGGCCTTGGGTTTTAGTTTATGAGATTCACAGGGAGTCTTTGGAGGGGATCCCAGGGATTTTGAGATTCAGAGGGGGGTCTTAGGCCTTAGTTTTTGAAATTTGGAGAGGGTCTTGGGTTTTAGTTTATGAGATTCATAGGGGATCTTAGGAGGGGGTCACAGGGATTTTGAGATTCAGAGGGGGTCTTGGGTCAGTTTTTGAGATTCGAAGAGGGTTGTAGATATTAGATCTTTGATGTTTGAGACACCCAATCTTGCACATTATATGAAGAGCCTCATTCTGCAATCTTCAAAAATAAGCACACAAAATGCCATGTGTTCATGGCTCAAGAGTCCTTACTGAACAAAAATTCCAAGTTTACTAAGCTTTTACTAAGCTTGAACGAACATTTAAAAAAAACGTAAGATAAAATGAGATAGGAGCCTTCATTTAGTCAATACAAGTTCTATTGCGTTAACAGCACGATAAAATATCAAACGGCTAATTAAGCTCGAAACTCTAAAACCTAAAATTTCAGAAACACCTGAGGTCTAGCTACAATTGAAGCTTTGCCGCTACGATATAACTTAGATCAGAAAGAATTTCTTGGAAAAAAAAACACGAAATGCAGTTTCTTTAAACCCACCTCTCCCATATTTACCCTCCAGTTTATTTTTAAGACGATTCGAGCTTATTTCCATAATAACACGTCTCCAACTCCGTAATAATCTGCATATTTACCAGACCTTGTGCACGAAAATACATAGCGTGCATTCAGACCGTGTACTTACCCTATAATGTACAAAATAATAACCAGTTGTATCAGCCGATTGATAAGTCCAACCTTTTTGCTTTTTATATGCACTATCTTGGCTGTATCGTACTCAAACAGGGTCGTAAGGACGCCATCACAAATTTGCCTGCAAGAGACCATGTTGATGACCTTTGTGATGACTACGAAACTTGGTGCGAGTATATACTTTATGTATGGCTATGCAAATTACCCCGCACTCAAAACAAATGGCCGCGGTCGGGAGAGGAACAGAGAGGAGTGGAAAGCTATACACCTTATTCCAAAATGGCCGCAATTTTAGAATTCTTTTGTTTGCCTTCAAATTACACCTTGTTGCCTCGTTCTTAAACTCGAAATTCAAAAGAAGATTTTCCCTTGAACGAGGCAACAAGGGCTAATTTGCATGCAAACAAAAGAACACTAAAATGGCGGCCATTTTGGAATAAGGTGTATAAGACGTGACTTCGAGAGCATTTTGGATTGCATTGCAGTTTTGCCGTTGAAACCCGCTGTTTACCGACAAGAATAGTTATTATTATTACTACACTGAAGGATAAGCTTGTATAATCTCACTGTTTACAACACGACACGTACATCCTCTGTTGTGAGCTGATTGACTCCGTTCCCTAGTATGGACAAGACAACAGACGATACGCCTACAGAAGTCACCTCACCAGAAGTCCCAGTTTCGTTGGCTGATGATCAACATTTGTCAAATGGAAGGCAGTCCAGTTCTGGTGTGAGCATTAAAACAGAGTGTGCTGTTTCAAGAAGTATGGGAGCTTTTGATGATCAGACATTTTCATTTGCAGCCATGTGGAAAGAATCATTTTCTACTACAGATGATGCATTTAGGAATAGTCATTTCTATGCTGGTGTTTCCGACAAAACTGAGAATGCATCTGGTAAAGACTACGTTAGTGAGACATTGTTTGCAAGTGAGTCAGAAAAGCCAGTTTCCATAGTGGATTTCTTAAATAAAAGTCAATCTTCTAGTGTGAACACAAAAGCTTTACCATCCACATCTTCATGCAGCATGGATATATCCGCTATAGAGGAAACGATATCCTTAGTGAATGACATGGTAGAGAGAAGTAAGCCTACCTCTGGCCTTGACAGGAAGAACAAAATTTCTATGTCTCCAGAGCAGCTTAAACAACCACCAAGGAAAAAGACAAAACTCAGTAGAAGTATGCAAGTACCAGTGAAGGATTTGCTTGATGGAATTCACACCTCACTGTGTAAACATGATTGCAATTTCAAGCACAATGCTCTTGTTCTGGCCATTTGTGTCCCAGACGATCATGAGCTAAAAGACTATCTGGAAAATCATTGGAAACGAGTCATGACAAATTGCTGGAAATCAGCTCAGTACTCTATAGATCCCAAATTGATGACTCAGTTGGTTCATTTGACAGTGCTGTTTGGTAAATACAATTTGCTGAAATGTTTGCTAAGAGTTCATGTTGACTGCTCAGGGTTGTATGTAGATTCAGCTCAGAATTCCCCTCTTCACACCATCTTAAAATGCACACATTATTACATGCCATCTTCCTCCCATCAAGAGAAACTTATGGCATTTCAACGCATTTTGCATCTTCTTGCAAAGTACAACTGTAATATTGTTCTGGTGAGGGACAGGCCTAATGAAGACACGATTCTTCATGTGTGTGCTAAGAAAATCAACAAACTAACCAATCAGGTACAGTCAATACAATCACATGGTCATGATGAGTTGAAGCTTCAAGGATTGCTTAATCAAAGACAGTTATTAGAAGGAATTTTCAAAGAAGTGATCCACACTTTGAAGAGGCTTTCTGCTGATGGATCTTTGCATCACAATCAAGTCATTGAATTGTTTGATTGTGCAAATAATGCAGGAGAAACGATGTCGCAGATTCTTAAAGAAGACGAATCAGCAAGGAATAACTGTGGAGTTCTTGCCAGTCAGGTAGCATCAACACTTCACCAAGAAGGAAATACAGTATGTACAAAGCAGCAAAAGATAGTAGCTGAGGAGAACTTAGAGAATGTAATGACAGAAGAAAACATATCTCAGTTGAGTACTGTTGCTAGATCTTCAGGTTCATGTACTGCTCAAAATGAGAATACTCATGTTTTAACTCAAGCAGCTTATCTGTCTGGTACTGAAGCCTTCTGCACTAACCACTTGTCTGTGGTAACAACTGAGTCTCCATCAATGAGGACAACCCAAATTGTAACATCAACCCAAATAGAAAATTCCACTGGGACCATTACGTTATCAACTAACTGTCCATCTGTCCAGGTGGCCACTGGATGTCCAAGTCAATCTTCATTGACCACTGAATCTACCTCTTTGTGGCCAGAGCAAACCGTTGAAAATTCCATAGAGACCACCATTCTATCAACTGAGTGTCAGTCTGCCCAAACGCCCAATGGATCTCCAAAGCAATCTTTATCAACCACTGAATCTGCCTTGCTGTGTCCAGCGCAAACTGTCTTAGCAAGTCAAGCAGCAAATTCCATACAGGTTACCATTCTATCAACTGAGTGTCAGTCTGTCCAAGCACCAAATGCATGTCCAAAACAACCCACATCAACTACGGTATCTGGTTCAGTAAGGTTACCTCAAACTGTTGTGTCAACTGAAGTGGCAAATCCCCTTGGCTCCACAACCTTATTGACTGACTGTTCATTTGGTCACACCCCTAGTGGATGTCTGAAACAGTCCATATCAAATGTGAGTGCTGCACCAATCACAGTGCCTTCTAAAACTTTAGATTCAGGAGCACAAGCTATGCAGACCATGCCAGTGAACACAGGAAGACAGCTGTCAGGTACAGGTTTCTTATAATAACTTTTTATTACTCTTTCTTTCCTGAGTGCTAGGTATGGTTACATGTTTCTACAATAATCTGAGATGCCACAGATTTTTTAGTCTCCTTCACAGCCATTTTTTTGGGATGTCACGCAACGCTCCCCCCAAAGAAATGCTGGGAGCGTTATGTGACATCCCAAAAAAACGGCTGCAAAGGAGACTACAGATTTTTAAAACCAATCTCAAAGACCAGTAGGCATGTGGAAAATATATACTGTCCTTTTTATCCAATTCAGATGCAATAGGGTATTTAAAGGCCAAATCAAAGTTTCTTTGGTTAGGATGGCTGCTGATTTTCTGACACAGTTTTGTCCTGTTTATAATGTCCTGCTCTTAGCTCTCCTACTACACTGCCATCTCCAGTCCTATTTGTAGAACTTGTAATAGCCAATTTGTGTTGAAATAGATGGATCAAGAGCAGTAGGTTAAAGCCCAAGCTGGGGTCATTGTGTTACATTGATGAGCGATATATTTGTTATTAAATTCTAATTTTTCAGTGTTGTTATTACCAGCTAGTATAACAACATCCAGTTTCGTGTTTTAATGTAAATGAAAAGTCATGGACATGAACTCTAGACTATTAATTTTTCAGGGAAACATACATTTCTGTGCAGCCAGGACTGCACTTTAAAACATCACAAGTTGGTAGAGCTTCTGTGTGCTACACCTGATCACCTTAACACAGATACAGCAACAGTAGAAGCTGAATCGTGTGCTGATCTCAAAGACTACTTAGAGAAAAGCCATTGGGTCATTCCGGAGGTAGTTCCTGCCCTTGAGCCAAGCTTGCGTCTCCCCATTGTTCATCTTGCTTGCTTTCTTGGGAAACACAAGGCATTAGAGGTGCTTTCAGATTTTGGCTTTCACGCTCTCCTTCGCACTGCCAATACTGAGGAAACCCCATTACATATGACAGTGCAACTGCTGCATTACCAAACATCTAACAGCATCTTTTTGTCTGATGTTGTCGTGAACATTGTGAAGACTCTAAATCAGCACTGTCATCCCATTTCTCTGTTCTCAGCCAAGGATGCGAAAGGGAATTCAGTGCTTCATGCAATGGCAAAATTGATCTCATCAAATGTTCCTGTGGCAGCTACACTTCTTTATGTCTACCTCTTTAGAGTGTTTGTCCATTTTATACTGAAGGAACGACAATGTATCCCAAAGTCTGGGTCCCTTCAGATTCTGTCAAATTGTTTGAAGGATTGCAATAAAGCTGGTCAAAATGTCGAGTCACTATTGCAAGAAAGTATCCATGGTGAGCAACTTTTGGAGTACCTCAATGGCCTCATGCAAAAAGGCAGGCCAGAAATGTCTTCTGAAACCATTGGTAAGACAGCATTCCACTCTAGTATAGCAGAAATGAAAAACTGAATGTATTTTATAATCAGAGCTTTGTACTATCTATGTGCTTATACAGAGGCAGATCCAGAAGTACTAAAATAATAGATAAATAAACAAATAAATAGATGACTGAATAGATAAAAATAATGATAACAATTATAAGTTAATAAATAATTCTGTGGAGCATCCTCAGGAGAGCTACTGCTCAACCATTTCCAGACCATATAGGAATGTAGATATGTTGTTTTTGATGATGAGGGCACAGCCCAAGTCAACTATCAAGCATAGAAACTGAGAGCAAATAATCTCATAATTATTGTTTAAGTATAAATCTACTAATAAGTGGTTCTAAACTTCATCTTGATCCTCTTCACAGAAACTTCAAAAATGCATAGAGCTGGCCAATATTTTGTTAACAACTGCTGCTTGGCCCATTGGCTACTCACTGTCTGCAACTGAATAGATAGTGAATAGCACAGCCAATAAGAGACCAAAAATTGTGATAGAATGCTAGTAAAATAAAATGATTTCTACTGAAGCCCATTAGTATAAATTTACTAGCGTTCTATCACGAATGCTGTTCTCTGATTGGCTGTACTACTCATTATCTATTCTGATTAGCTCAACAGTGTGCAGTTGTTACAAACATGATGGCTGCTTCTTTACGTTTTTGAAACCTTTTTGTCTATGAAGAGAATTTGGATAAAGGTTTGAACAACTACATGTAATAGATTTACACTAAAACAATTAGATTATTCACTCTTGATTTCTATGCATGATAGTTGATGAGGGTGCAGCCCAAGTCAACTATCATCCATAGAAATCTTGAGCTCATAGTCTAATTGGTAAATAGAATAACAGATGTTAAAATAAGTGGAGTACAAACATCATTCAATATTTGTTATCATTTTTTTTCTTCAATAGTGGAAGGTAGGAAAGACAGCCATGGACACCCAGAAGGCCAGCATGTCACATGCACTGATCAGAAACATGCTGGAACCCAAAGAGAAATGAGCAAGGAACCCAAGAACCTTGTTGATTTCATTCTTTCTGCAGATTGTAAAATCAGTAGTGCTTCCAAGAAAAGAATAGTGGATTGTTACATTGGAGAATATGAAAGTAGATTGCAACTGGTAAGGGCAAAAATGGCCACAGTAAGACAGGAAATGGCCTCAGCAAAAACATTGCTGGAACGGAATATGATAGTAGGTGCAAAATTGCGCATGATGGAATCGGAGGTCAGTTGGAATGCAAAAAGAATGAAACTGAGGGAAGGCGAGTTGAAGAAAAAGCAAAGGGAACAGGTACTTCTTCACAAAAGACTTCTGCTTTTGGAAGGACTGCAAAACATTGTCAATGAAAGATAAGTTAGTACAACCTGAGGATAATTTTATGAATTTACTCCTCTTTCCAAGGGTTTTGAATCACATAAAATGGGGCAAGCCAAATGTAGGCTACAGCGAGGGTGAGAACACAGGGGTTCCAATTGAAGATACCCTAGGTAGAACTAGAGAATGGAAGTGACAGGGAGATGCAAAGGATATACTTGACAATGGAAATTATGGTACAGTGGAACCTCTGTTAAGGGGACACCCTTGAGACTAAAAGAAATTCTCCGCAAAAAGTGTTTCCCCTTTACAGTTAGGACCCTTGAACAGTGAACATTTAGCATTTTTTGTACATTTTTTAGGCAGAGTATTTAGCAAGATAAAAAGTAAAAACTGTAAAGAAAGTGATATAATTTGATGAGTAGGCACAATTTGTTTACCATAAGCCTGTTCGTTCGTTGTTTACCATACTTACTCACGAAAGTGCTGTAGGGTTTTGTGCATATTTTTAGATATGCATAATAAGCATAAAATTTGCTTATAATTTTGCTAAAATTTTAAGACTTAATATTGACCATTATGGTTTTCGTGTGTCTGTTATTGTTTTGGTTTACATGATAGCAAGGTTTCTATTGTTTCCCACTGGTCATAGCATACAGTGTATCCTGGCCAAAACTGAGTCTTAAGTAATGCGTAGAAAGTACAAGAGTTTGTATTGGTTCCTTTAACTGAGAATTTAAAGTTTTTTCTATTGTTAATAGCTAAAACACTGAACAAAGTTGAGGAAACAATGTCCAGCATTGGACAAAATTTTTGCAGGTTCTAATTTTTGCCATTTTTTGCATTTTTTTACCACAAATTATCCACAGAAATAAGTTCCTGCAAATATTTTCTCCACAAAACATTTACTCAACTGACAATATTATACATCCAAACATCACATGCAGAATTTTGGTGTCATTTATTTAAATTGTATCTTTCAATTAGAAACAAACCTTGGGGGATATGCATCAAATGGTATGGACTGTAGTTTTTGCTGAGCCATTGCTAGAGCAATCAGCCACACTAGGGCAAAATGTAATTGCAATGGAGTGATACTGAGTACTGTGTTTTATATCTCTTCAATTTGTTTCACTTGTTGGTTGCATGTAGTTGAATAAAAAATAAAAAAATTGTCATAATTCGGATCAAACGCACCTTCCCAACAAAAATTAATACCCGGCAAGAAAAACCAGTCTTAAAAGATTGCAAAAATTGGTTCCCACTAAATACAAAAAAATCGGCGATCCACAAAATTAAACTCCTGCAAAAATTTGTGTCGCAAGGTATCATTACATTTGTGATAAGGAGTTTATGTTTGCATTTGTGGGGATGACACTCATCAGAGCCTAATAATTAACAGTAAAGAACGACCAAACCTAACACTGTATAAGAGTTCTGATTGGTTCATTCATTGGATTTTGGTTAGTTAGATGATATTGCTTTGGACAGACTCTAGAAAGTTACTCTGTTGTAGTTACACTTGGTTACTGTTTCACATAATTATTGTCCAGTAAGTAATGAAAGAGTCATGAAAATTTCATAGAAAGTGCCCTACTTTTCCCTAGCATTTCTTTTTCTCTTTTTTTTTTTTTTTTTTTTTTGCAGCGTTCTTCCAGCTGTTTTGTTGCAAATTATTTAATCTGAAGTAAATTATTGGAAGACATACACTTTTTGCTCAGAACCCACCAGTTTATCGAGATCTTCAGTTATAGGTCTACTTATAGTTCTTGTGCTACTTGCCTATGGCCCATAAGTATAAGTATATTGAAAAATTAAAGATGATGAATAGTGATGTTAATCTGAAGCAGTTCTTTTCCCAAGCCCCTCTTTTAACAAGTTTATTCCCTTTTCAATCCCTGCCCCTTCCTGTGCCCCCAAAAAGAGGGAGGAAGGGAAAAGAGAGATGCTGGGAACAAGGTTGCTCTGAAGAGATGTCAGCTGCTGAAGAGGTTTCAAAAGCTTGTTTAGCCTGCAAGCAGCATCACATTGGAGCAAAAGCATGCACAGCTTAGCTGCGAGTGCAAAATCACGTGGCAAAGCCCCCAGATGAGAAAGTGTTGGTGCCTCTTCACCACACTCCTTACCACCGGATCGCTTTGGTCTTTGCCACTTGCGCGCAACTCAAAGGTGAGCTTGCTCGCAGGATAAAGCTTGTTTTCCTCTGCATGTTTTTTGGAGAATCATTTACGCCCGAGCATTTACGGAAGTTACTTGGACCAGGCACTTACCATTTATCAGAAGGAAAATGTTGGCATGACCATTGAATAATAATTGGTAAGGGATTTCCCAAAATCAGCAAACCAACTAATGGAGATGGCACTTGCCTCATACTTTGTTTCCTGTTATTACTTTACATTGACAAGAGATTGGAAACTGGGGTAATTAATTTTTGTTTAAATATAAGCATGAGTTTTATCTCTCTGACCTGTTATGACTCTGGGGGCGGTACTCCCAGAACATTATTGGGTGGCATGTATGGCCTGCCTCCCAAAACCCTCACCCTATTTATGACCAACATCTCTAATTTTCCCCACCCTATTTATGACCAAAATGGCTGAAAAACTATACCCTTTGGGGCTACACATACCTATATAAACAATATACATATGAGGAAGTGGTGGGGGGGGGGGGTATGACCCAAGAGAAGAAAGAGGGTCAATCCGTATTATAAACAGCCAACAAGATATATTTGGACACTCGTTAGGTATCCACTCGCCTACATGCCCAACATGTGTATAATTGTCACACAAACAGAAAATCAGATGGCCTCCCTTGGGTTTTGGGGGACAAGGGAACATGACCATTTATTTCAAGGGAATAAGGATAATTTGGGGGATTGATTTGAGGGAACAAGAGATATCTCTACAATTAAAGGGAACTTTGCCAAAAAAATTTTTGGAAACAATGGAATTGAGAAAAAGTGAAATTTTCTGATCAAGGGAACGAGCATGCAAAAACCTGGAGAAAAAATGTCTTGACTTTGCACTGATTTGAACAAGGATTTAATTCCCTGACCTGATACAAAATTCCTGACTTAGGAAAAAATCGTTTCAAAATGTTTTTTTCAAGTGTTCAGGGGTGTAGGTTAAATTTTCAGAAAAATGTTTTAATTACTTTCTCATCCAAATATGCAAGATTTTCCCGCGCGCGGGCACTCTTTAAAGCAAACCATCCCATAACTCCTTGCGCGCTGAAGGTGAAGATTCTAAATCTCACGGCGAGTTGAGAAGCGTGGAGAACCTATGATCTTATTTGTGTTCAATTTATTCGATATTTGCGTCATCGATAGCTTTAGATTTTACTCTTTTAACTGTCGTGCTATAAATTTTTTTCGTTGTGACTGAATGCCCTCGTTTAGCGCATGTGAGTGAGGAAACGGCTAATGGACGAGGAAGCCGAGTGAATGTGACAATCTCAACGATCTTCGCTGGGTATCAACCCTTTCCTGTTTGATAACACTGTCGGTTTTGATCTCAGAATGTTCCACACGCCGTTGTGCCCAAAAGACTGTGAAATTAGACACCACGATGTCATCACTTCGCTGCAAGCTCTCACTCCTCGCTTCAGTTCCGCGATGAATGCAGCGATCTTCAGTCCTTCTCGTGTCACTCGTGGTAACAACAAGGATGACTTCAAAAAACAGGTCCACAAGCTCCTTGCCACGGGTTGGAAGAAGGACAAAAATGTCCCAGAAAATAGTAAAGATTTTCAGCTGCCCCTTCTTCACTTGGCGAGCATGTTTGGAAAATACGAAGCGGTCGATTGGTTGTTAAACGAAGAGAATTTCGATGCAGCTTTGAGGTCCTCCTCATCGAACGAGACTGCACTGCATTTAGTTGCTCGCCACCTTTACAAGGCGTTGTTGTCCGAATCTACTAGACTAGAAAACATGAGCATCAGCGCGAAAGTTTCCAATTTTGAGAAGGTAGTTTCGTTGCTGATCGTTAAGGAAGTGAGCCTTTTCTGGGCAAAAGATGGCTTGAACAAAGAGACACCATTTCATATTCTTGCCAAACACCTTCTCGCCGCCAACTCCGCGGAAGCGGATTCAGGAATAGAAGATCAGTGCTTGGCGTTCTACTCGAAGAGCTTTAATATGATCCTGAAACTTCTCCTGGCCGAAGAGGACGGCAGGTTAAGCAGAAAGGATATCATGCAAGCTCTTAGTATTAGGAATGGTGATGGAGACACTCCATTGCATATTGTGGCCAAAGCAACCAAGCATGGATACCAAGTGCTTAAGTTCCTGGTGAAGTCATTAGGATCCTCTGATCTTCTGAAACTCAAGAATGAAAAAAGTCTCACGGTATTGAATATCGTGAATGAATGTTATCCTGGCCATGAAAAGGATTTGATTGTTGAAGAAGAGGGCAGAAAGCAGTTGGACCCTGCTGATTTTCCAGGTAGTAAATGCTGTAAAATCCTGTTTATAATCTCTGGGCTTATACAGACTTATTAATGGTACATAATGATTTGATTTCAACTGATTTCCCACTTCTTGCAAAAAAAAAAAAAAAGATAAAAATCTACCTGCATATGTTAGCCATCAGGAGTATGAAATTTTTGTCCCATTCAGAGCTCTTAGTTTACCTATGTGATGGCTTCAAAGGCCTCTTTCAAAGCTAAGTTTTAAGAAAAGGAATGCAATATTTGGAAGCAGAATTTTAATGTAACAGACCCAGCTGTACAAAATATCACAAGATAGGTTGCCCCCATGTACTCATCTTCAGTATTTTTTGCCTAAATCTTTGGACATCAACTCTTCAAAATTAGGGCATTTTCCCACACGAGTGATGTTGTTCAGTACAGTGGAACCCCACCTAAGGCTCATGTCATTAATATAGTCACCGCGTTATTATGGCCACTTTTTTAGTCTGGCAAATGCCCATACATTTTCTCACAAGTAAAACCTGGTTTTTAGTGGTTTTGACCTTCTCAAAGCGCATAGTTAGGAACACACCCTCTTTTGTTTAGCGGTCATGTCTTTGGGCAGTGTCAAGTTTCTCCTGGGTCAACTAATCTTCTTGTGTTCTAAAGGTCATTTACGCCCTCTCAATGATCATTTTACCCACCCCTCCCTCCTGGGGTGGGTGGGAGAGGTAATTTTATTTTTCTCTTGGGCTTGTTTTCAATAAAGTTCATTTTGCTCCAAACTCTTCTGCAGTTTTGTGTTTTCTAATTAATAAGGCCAACTTCCACATTTAATTCCCAACCTGTATAATCCCTTATGGGACTAAATGTAATTTAGGCAAAGTTTGAGTCAAGCCAATGCTGGTCAGCGGTCTCTCAGGGCGATCATGCTCGGTGGAGTCTCAACAGGGTTTTGCAGGGCTTATGTGTTTTGCTTGCCAGCTGTGTGAGAATGTGCAGTTTGGCTTTGAGTGCCATTCTTGCCTCTTGAGTGCTTTTGCTCTCTCACCTCCCTACCTTTCACTGGGACAGTAAGTATATGGGGTGGTAAGTATCTCTGCTGACTCTGTCAGTGTGACAGTGCTTAATGGTTGCCGCTCTCAGGGTTGCCATGGATACCTGCATGCTCTGCTTGAGGCTCGTATCTTGGCTAGATCATCCCTAAGGCACCTTTCCCAAACTCAAAGAACAGTTATTTACAAGTGCAGTTGTGATGTATCTGTCATGATGTCACTTAAAATAGATCAGTCATGAAATTTGACTCATGGCCCATTGGTTGCTGTATTTAGGGGATTACACTGTAGATTTTGTGAAAATTTGCTGACGCATTCTCTAATTCTATGCCTAAAAACTATGAACCTTTGACTATGTGGCAATTCTGTCCAAATCTGAACTTGGGAAGATCTGGGTACAAATTTCCTCTCCCTAAACCTTTCAGCACCACTTGGTAATCTGTGATATCTTCTCTTGATTACTGGAGGTAAGAAGCTGAGACCTAAAGCTTCAAGTTCAGATGAACCAGACCAAGGAACAGCGGATCTAGTACAATTCCTGAGTCGTAGTTCTTCAAATCCCATGAGGCTCTCCCGTCATGAACCAGCTTTAGGCCGTGGCTCAGCAAGACGTTCTGAGGGATGTGCATTTCACACAAAGTATTTTCCAGGTTTGTGCTCTCCAGATTGCTTTGATACCATGGCAGCCTGTAAGGAAATTTTAGACACCCATACTCCTCTCTGTCAAACTGACTGTGATCTCCAGCATCACTTGTTGACATGCTGTGTCTTCAGCCCATCTGTCGTGTTCCGTACAGACGCTGCCAACAAGATTCCCTGGAAGTTCAGGTTGTGCCTACAGGCTTCCTTCATAGCAGGCTGGGAAAAGTACATGAATGTTCCAGATCCTCTGGCTAGTCTACGTTTTCCACTGCTGCACTTGATCTGCATGAGTGGTAATCTTCTTGCTGCAACAAGCCTTATGCGATACATGAAGTTTAAACTCAGTGTCTCCACGAGAAGTAAAGAAACTCCCCTTCATCTGGTCGCTCAGTACTTTCCTGTCACCCACGCAGATACCAAGATTCCCAACTTCCAGCAAATTTTGAACTTTCTTACTGACGAGGATCAAGGGATGCTGTTCAAGTTTGATCTAAAGGGAGATACAGTGCTGCACGTCTTGGCCCAGTGTTTCAATGGAATGGCAAGCAAACTGCAAACAAAACCAAGTGATGCACCGCTTGACAAGAGTGCTCTGGTTAAGCAGAAAAATTGCTATTATAAAGCAATGAAGGTTTGCCTGCGTAAACTTTCAGATCTCCAGTTGAGCAACAAGCTTTGTAAAAAGCAAATTTGCAAACTGGTGCATGACAGGAATAGTGCTGGTAAAACGTTCTTGGACATTCTGCAAGGAGGTCCAGACAGTGTCATGGGAATGATACTCCAGACGTATGCCAAGGAGTTGTTGCCATATTGTTTTGGTGACGAAAGGCATGATCTGGTTAGTGGCATATGCCAGTTGTCTTGCCCTTGCAGTGGCGGGGAAGCAGCATCCCAAAGCCTAGATTGTGAAACTCAGGCTGGTCAAAGTGAAGGTAATGGCTTATGGATGTTGTGATGTTCCTGTTGATCACAGCCAGTCAAAATGGCCCTTCTAGTACATCAGGGGTTTAGTGTTTTATTTTACTGTAGGATTGAATGTTTTGCTTGGGAGGGGTGGTTGCCTAATGGTTAGTTTGCTGGGCTCTGTTGAAAAAATTTAGGCTAGTGACAAAATAACACGTACATGCGTTCTAAGTTTCTTATTATAGGCCAAAAGAAATTTGTTATTTTACAGTCTTCTTTCTGTTTAACACTGGTACGACTTTCACCCCACTCCAGACTGACCTCTGGCATCACAGTCTCTCAAAATGTGTCACAGTCTATTTCAGATCTTCTGTTCAGATTTTCAGTTCAGAATTTTAGAATTCCGATGCAAACTTTCTTTCTTTCTCTCTTTTCTCATACTTTAAATAATTATAGTGGCATAAGTGTGCAATCTGACAACAAGTTTACAGTTACTTTACCTTATGATTCACCAGATTAAAGTAACCAAGTGGGCTCCATGTCAGGCATTTTATCTCGCATTTATGAAGCTGTCTAACCCATGTAAAATCAACTAGGAAAAAAGTATGATTTGCCTACAATTAAATGAAGTTGTTGAAATGCATGGGTCTTAGTAATCTCAATTAAAGGAACAACTTCAAGGATGCATGTCGTTTTACTTTGAATTTTCAAGCAATGAGTCAGTAACATTCAAATGCTTATCATACAGACAAAACTGTAAGTACAAATGAATGTGATTGTGTTTTTCACGGTATTCAAAATGCATTCTAAGATAAGGGGAGAAAGAAAATTAAAAAATAAAATAAATTGAAATATCTTGGTTGGCCAGGCTGGTGACCAAATGTGAAAAGTTTATTGCTACTGAATCAGACTCAGTTGCATTGGCGACCCTAGCAGTTGCAATGGTAAGCTTTGTACAACCACTCATCATTAAGGTCACTGCTGGTGACTATATTTTTGAGTCCCCAACCATTGTTTTCTTTATAACCTTACATTTACCTGATATGACCACCTGAAATGTTGAATGAGATCAACGGCAAAAAGCAAAATAGTGTTCAGTTACAATAAATTGCATAGCTGCTGGAGACTTCAGATGATATTATGCATTACTTTAGTTTCATCCTTACCAGTGAGGAACAATATTATTGTAAAGTTCTCAAAGCAATGACCCCCTAAAACTAGTGAGCCTCCAGAAATAGCAATACAACTTCAAGGTTGTTCCCAAATTCTGAAAAACACTCTGTAGGTAATGACCATCCAAAAATGGCAACAAAATTTAATGGTTGTTGGGAAATTCTGAAACTCTCTCTTAGAAAGGAGTGTGTTTGGAGGGAGGGTGCTACATCAAATCATTACAGTATAACAAGCTGAACCAAACTGATGAGATCTTTCTCGTGGATCACTCTCTTTGCTTTGTGTAACATACACTCTTCAACAAAATTTATCTCTTTCTTAATTGTATGCATTGGCACACGTGGTATATGTGTCAGATAAACACTGATTCCGAGAAAGTTGTGACCCTCTGAAAGTAGCAATAGGAAAAAAGCTGCTAAATACAAAAGTGATGTAAAGTTGTTTCTTTTTGAACTTCACGGCGATATATGCCTGGATAATGATTTGAACCAACCTTGTTAACACAGCCAGGTTTTTATGGCACATTCGTGACCACTATTAGTAGGGTTTTCCTGTATCAAGGTTTTAATTAACTCTTTTTCGTTTTATGCAGAAGGCGAAAGCTCTGTTCAAGAACCAGTGTCATCTTCACAAAGTCCACTTGCTGACGTCAATGACAGCTCTGCTGATGTCTCTGAACCACAGTTGACTCATGACCAGCCTACACAAGTGGAAGTGGCACCTTCATCTGCGCTTCCTAGAAGACCCCAAGCACAGGTGCGTAGCATTCAGGTTCTGGGACAAGCAACGGCAGGGAACCCTTCTTCACAAGCTAACACTGCTGCGCAACCAGTGCAGCATATTCCAGTGGTTTTCATCAAGCAGGAGCCAGTTGACTTGCAACATGACGCCCAGTGTTTTGTTACCACCAACAGTCACCTGGAAGCTTATACACCAAGGCAGAATGCTTTCATCATTCGTACTGGTGCTGCTGTTACAACTCCCGTTCAGAACCCTTCACCTCAGCGGTCGTTTGAAAGGGGCATCATCCATCCAGGTGACCATTCTTCATCAAACCCATCATCTTTGCAATCACTTGTTCATTGTGTCCAGGCAGTGCCAAATGTGACTACAACAAGAAATCAGCCATTGGCAACTGGTACCCAAATTCCAACCTTAGTTCAACAAGGGGTACAGACAGTGGGGACACCTACTGTCAGTCATCCATCAAGTGCTGGCACCCAAACCACAGCGTTGCCACAACAACGAGGACAGATGACACAGACTCCTTCTGTCAACCAGCCATTAATGGCTGGTACCCAAACTACAGCGTTGTTGCCGCAAGGGGGACAGACAGTGAGGTCACCTACTGTCAACCAGCCATCAACTGCTGGTACCCAAACCACAGCCTTGCTGCTGCAAGGTGTGCAGACAGCAAGGACACCCTCCGTCAATCAGTCACCACAGGGTCAAACAGGAGCCTCTAAGGATCCTTTAAGAAGAGAGCAACTGGCTCAGGCAAAACAAGTGCAGGGTAAACGAAAATCAGCTGAATCTGTTAAAGAGATGGCTTTGGAAACGCTAAGCAAATATAAGACAGATTACAAAATAGGTAAGACCTATAGTAATACCTCTTAAATAAACCCTTCTCCACAGTAATAAACCATGAGCGCAAAATCTCACTCCTCCTGTAGTTTGGCTATACCTAAACTACAGCTTAATTTGCAGCTCTTGATGTGCGCGTTATTGTCAGATATCAACTTCTAAGAGAAAAAACTTGCAACAATTTTAGGGGTGGTCAATCAAGTCTCATATAAGAGTGGATATGATTTTATGCTTTCTAAAGACAGATCTGTCCAAGAGCTATTTAATTGGCTTTTTAAATATGATACAAATTGACCAAATATGTTAAAGAATGCAATAGTATTTTGTGCCACATGACACTTGCGAGAATGAGAGGGTTAATGATGTAGTCTTGCATATATCCATGTGGTGTTTCTGTTTAGCATTTGCTCTGCGAGTCAGAAAATGTTTGCTTATGAGCAGCATTTACTTTTTGTGTCTGTGTTAGGCACTTATTTTTTGTTTGTATTTTTGTGGATTTTGGGATGGGGGGCGGGGGCAGGGATCCATATTCGCAGTCATCCAGTTGTCCCGGTCATCCGTGATGACTAGAAAATCATAGGGACAACTAAATCATTGAGTTTTCCTATTGATTTGAAATCAATGCGAAAACTCGTCCGCTGTTGTCTTTTGAGTTTCCTGCATTCTGACCACTTGTCATCCAATTGGAGCTTTAAGAAAACAGATAAAGATTTGCAGCTTTCTTTTGCAATAAAATCATAATTTTGGTCCCCCATCTGGGTTCTCATCTGGGATGATGTGGTATTCTCCATGAATGAAATCATTACAGACTCAATTTCCATTTTGTCAACCGCAGATGCTCTGTACTGCACCTGTTTCTGAGGCTCAATTGCATCAGCTTTTTTGATCAAGATATGTCATTTAGTAATGTTAACACTTCAGAAAAACAAGCCAAATAGGAGCAGAAAGAGCGAAAGCATTCCTTTTGGCCTTCATGGCAGTCAAAGAGGCCTTGATTTTCATTTGTACCTGGATTTTCTGTGTCCACGGGATGTACTGGGAGACTGGTCACATGAATAATAATAAAAAAAGTAAACTTTCCATTTACATGCTGTTCTGTTGCCATTCTTCCCTATTGAAGGGCTAGTAAAATTTTGCCAGGACAAGTATGTCATCTGGCATACTTGCCCGGCTGAGGACTTGGAGAAAAAACCAGTATGGATCCCTGTGGGGGAACAGAGAGGCTTCCTTTTACAGCAGGAGGTGCGGATTATCAGATTTTACATTCATAAACAATGAGAAACATTTCTGAAAAAAAATTGTTATTTTTTATCATTTCAGAATTTTTCCACACACCACTTTGTTATGTAAATTGCAGCATTGACCATCACCATCTTATCCTGGCACTGCTGAGCTCTTCAAATAGATTAATTTCCCGAGGTTCACTGAACAGCTTTACACAGCTTTTAGAAACCACCAAAGTCAACTTCCTTAAATGTGTGAAGAAGAACCTTGATGAGGGTTTTGCTAAAGACCTTGACATCTCTGATGGTTTGGTTGTATTGAAATATCCTTTGATTCATCTGGCAGGAATTTTCTTCAAGTATACAGCCATAGACTTGTTAGTTCATCTCGGCTTTGAGCGAAATCCGTGTTCACCAAGAACAGGTGAACTGCCCTTGCATTCAACATTACGCCATGGCTTCTCAACTGGTTCGAAGCTTTACAAGTCATTTGCCATGAACAGGAATTACGAGAAACTGTTTTCCAGGGTGTTCAAATCATTTTCCAGTGAAACGGATGTGATTGAGCTTCTGTCTCAGCAAGACAAAAATGGAGACACACCCTTACATGTTGCAGCTAAGAGGATGATTGAACGACCTGCTCCACTCAGCAAGCCATCAAACATTGTTACATCAGAGATTCCTGATTCAACCCAGGAATGTGAGTCAAACAGTTCTAGAAGAGGTGTTCCTGCGGATGTTACTCTGGTTTGCACGCTCGGCCCCCCCAGTGAGCAGCATCGGTGTCGAGCCGACTTTTATATTCACTGCTTGGAGTACATTTTGAGAAAGGTCCAGGAGGCTGCGACAAATGCTCGTAAAGTGAACATTGGCCTTGTAAAGCCTCTGTTCTTAATGAAGAATAATGAAGGAGAAACATTTCTGCAGATTATGTGCAAGGAGCACCATATAGCTAATACGGCTATAAATGACCTGCTCAACAGATTTCCCGATGTGACTTTTGTTGACTGTGTTAAGCAGAGTGTTCCTGAACCCTGTTGGCCTTATACCTGTTTGCTTGGTGAGCCTTTAGTTGAAGAAGAGAGCACAAGTGGTGTCTTGGTGACTGTGTACTCCCCCATGGAGGTGTCTGGACCATCTGACACACCATCAGGTGATTTCTTGAGCATTGTTATCTTGTCTTTTCGTGTCTGAATTGATTGTTTTTTCTATGGAGGAGTGGGGAATGGTTGGATGAGCAAAGCAAGCTAAGAGGAACTTCTCTCCCCACTTTTCTTTTGACCTCATTCCTTTAAGAGAATTGACCTAACAGCTTGATAAGTAGGTCTTTAACCTGGAAGGGGGACTCCATCATGAAAAGGTCTGGGATGCTTGTCCGAAAATTTAATTTAAATCCCTAAAGGAAACCAATCTAGGAGCAGCTCAAGCTTTTTTTGACCCCAAAAAGATACCACTTAAAAATGGAAAAGGCTCAATTATATTCTGCTGTTCGCGAAGGTAGCTGGTGCTAATAGACTGGACTCAAGAGAGCTGCGGAAATTGAGCCTAACAACAGAAATAAGAGTGTTTTATTGTTGTCTCTTCGCATGCACCCTAAAAGGTACTTTGATAGGTAAAAATAGTTGTGTCTCATCTTGAACACCTTAAGTGAGACCAAACGCCTTGATTTACACCTGGTAAGCGAGACGACGAACATCCCTGACCTTTCCATTTGCGATTCCCCCGGGTCTTAAATTAACTACTAGACTTCTTTGCTTAGAAGACACGATCTAGTAAAAGCCTTGGGAAAAAACATGAATCTCTGAGTTTTGAATGATCCACAGCCAGTTATTATTTGCACATAAGGTGCCTCTCTCCACCCAGGTGTATAAATGGGTACCGGCGAACTTAATGCTGGGGGTAAGCCTGCGATGGACTAGCATCCCATCCAGGGGGGAGTAGNAAATACTCCTAGTCGCTTCATGCTACAGAAACCGGGATAAGCTCCGGCCTGATGGGCTACTTGGCTCGCATGCAGACTTTTTTTTAAGGTTTATTTAAAGTGCATATGACATGAAAAAATAATTTCTGCTTATTTGAAAGGCCTTTCAAAATACAGAATGGCGTTATTTTGTTTCTTTTGTGATGCACATTTGTGGTGCCAAGTTTCAAGAACACTGCTTCAATATTTTCAGAGATATCGTTTATTCAGTATTTTACCACTTTT